CTGGGCGGCCACCACCAAGCTTTCTAACAGCCGTACTTATGGTTTGGAAATTCTTCCAAGCTCGCGAAACGACACTTTTGTTCATCCCGAACTCTTCAGCTACATTGGTCACACTACGCCCCTCCTCCAGCTTTTCCATCATTCTTCCAGGTGTGAAGTCATCCAGGTGATTTCTTCTAGCCATATTTCACAAAAGAACTCACTTGCACTTGCAGTGAATGTCTTTAAATGCGTCTACGTTCCTTCCTTTTATTGTACACTTGAGCCCGACGACCGCACGTGTTTTGCGTACGCTCACGTCGCCTGTTTTGTTCCTGACATTTGTATACGTATCACCTTTCTACTGAATTTCGTGTTCATTGTACTGAATGCGATAACCCCTTTTCTACAATTTAATGGCTATCTGATTAAAATTTACATTGTTGCTTAAAGTTTTGCACACCAGTGTAATTTTCTTATTCATTTTAATCCGCGTTCCTCAAGTGTTCCCTACACACGTCATGGAGGAGGAAAATCTCGTCCAGGTCCGGTACATCACAGAGGGGGGAAATTCTCGCCAAAAGGTACGCAAAATCTCTTGGCGAATTTTCCCTCTTCTTTCTAGCGGCGTAGAAGACAAAGTGGTTTACATTACGTCTATGGAGCCTTTCTTTCTTTACATATTTTACATTCTTTGGTATGGGAAATGTCCCCATTTACTCTGCTCCTGAAAGATAGGAACGTTCTACCAAAGCCTACCTCCAATTCGGAGAAGCAGTTAATACTTGTTTGCCGTGTGAATGGGACACGTTGGAAGAACAAGTTTTCGCTACCGGTCGAATCTGCTCTTGTGAACGAGGCTCTACTATCAAGCAAAAAATATCTTCTCTTGTAACTGTAAAGGGAGAAAAAAACTGAAAGCTTTCAGATTTTATATTACACCCGAAGGGGCGTTTTTAATGTTTTGTGTTTTACCTTTATTTATTAAATATCATGTTCTTTTCACTTAAACCATAAAATTCAATTTAACAGCAATATCGCAAAATAATTTTAAAATGAGCATACCTTTAAAAATTCCGATACACAATCTCGTGAGCTGGAGATAAAAATGTTTTTTTTCCCTACACACAGTGTTGCCATCGTTCTCTCTGAAATTGCTGAGTTTGTTAATCAAAAATTCGTTAGTCTTACAAAATATGAAATTGATAATAAAATGAATTCCAAATTCGGTGTCTTCCTGTTTTCGCGGTTATCAAAAACGTTCCTGTTTCCGCTAAATCATCAATCTTCATTACCCCCCCTTCCCAAAGGGGTTACATTGGCGGGGGCGAGTGGACCTTGGCCTCTCCCGAAATGTAGGTAAGCAAAAAAATTTTAGATTTAGAAAAAATAATTTTTAAAGCAAATAATCGAAAAATATTCACAATCTCAGATCTTTGCATGAATGAAGCTAATACTGTATTTAAAAGGAGAGAAAGATGTTCAAACTCTGCGATGATTTTGGCAAATGAACTGAAAGATCGTTTCCTAAATTTAAAAATAATATTCTTCTAAAATTCTGCATAGAGGTGAGTTATAATAAAATCTTTCAGAACAATTATTCGTTCTAAAATGACGTTCGTTCTTCTAAAACGACTTCTGCTTTGGTTTTAATTGTGCCTTTGCAGCTTTTAATTCTTTCATTTATGCAAATCCAATAAACTACATTTTCCTTATTTCTATTCCGAATTCGATACTGATAACCTTCATAAAGGGCTAAAGATTTTTTTCCTTTTAGTTTCAATAATGTCTAAAACATCCATATTGATTAACATAAGATGTGAAAACAGCAGCTAATATTGTAGCAGAATTATAAACAGAATGAAATTGAAGATTTCGAGAGGAGCCTAAACTTAACGAAGACTAACTTATTCACAAAGAAACTGGCTTATCGTGACATCCCCTGAGGAGCTGTGGGAGGGGGACTGTACTCTCCGAATTCGCGGGAACAGAAAGAATTTTGAAAAACGTGGAATGAGGAATCGCGGAAACAGAACTAATTCCCAAATTCGGGCTTCCAGATATGGGCATATTCGGGTGGAAACGTGTGTGATTCAAAATTTGATGGCTCTAGTTACCATTGTTTTATCACAGTGCGAGAAACGTACATACATTTATGCAGATTCTTCGTTATTTAATTTCTTTAAATATAATGCACGCTGTAATATTTGGTGGCAAAAACTTGAAAAGTAAACCGACGTTTATAGATATATACCATTCGCACCAAGATAATGGCCCACCCTGTAAAGGAGGCAAGCTAATTTTTTTTCAAACAAATATTACTCATGAAATTATTTAGCACTGTTCTTCAGCATCAAAATCATAAGTGCTGTGTGTATAAAAGTGTCAAAACTTTCTGTCAGTTTTTCTGAAACAGGATTCACACTTTTTATTACGTGTATAACATTTTTCCTAAATATGATTTCAGGGACCATGGTTAGTTAAATTTCATAATTAAAAAATTTTTTTTAAATATCTAAAAAATGGCAATACCTTATTATTTGCATCATTTAAAACATTTATGTGAGTAGAAGTACATGTCTACGACCAGCGGTTTTGAAAATAATGACTAGATTAAGGACTTACGTGGACATAGTGTATGAAAATATATACATAAAGACCATCTGTTACTAACTGCAGTTTTTTTTTTTTTTTTTTTTGTAATTTTTATGAAAACTGTTGAAATTTAAAGTTTCACGTGGAAAACCTATTTAATTTTTTTTTTTTTAATTTTTACTATGATTCCAATAATCCTTCAGTTTGGTCATTTATTGCCAAATCTGTATTTTATATACTCTAGACATTTAGTTGCTCTTCTGAATTTATCTAATTCATTTAATATTATTTCCTCATGTTGGGAATCTGAACTTTGGCATTGTGCATCACTGCATTTGTCAGTTAATTAGGATTTTAATAATTTTTAAACCTTATGCAACCTAAAAAAATTTAAATTGGTGATTAAGAATTTCTTGATGACATTTTGAATAAACATAGAACATTACTGTGAAGCAGAATAATTATTCATTCAATTTTACAAATTATAATACAGTAATTTGTCCGTAATCCGGACGTCCATTATCCGGAATGATCTAAAATCCGGATCTCAAAGCCACAACCCTTTTTTTGGGGGGGGTATGCTTTACGCATGCGCATTTGATTTTTTTCTTCCATAATAAAACATGTGAAGATTTTCACTTAAAAATTCCGATTCTTAATTTCACTTAGGCACTAAATAAAATACCTCGTTATGGAAAAAGAATCATGTAAGCATAAATTTGTGAGATTAATAATTTGGCTCCGTAGCTGAGTATCTATTTGGCATACATCTCAAACCGAAACATACATCTATTTTATATCCCTGACGCCGACCTGGCGCACCGCATGTTTATCAATACATGGCAGCTTCAGTAATAACTCATGCAGTGATGCCTACACTTTTTTTTATATTGGTAACTGAATAACAAGAGTATGGCAAGCTTTTTGCTAACATTACGCTTGGCGATGATTATAGATTTTTCAATGCCCTAGGAAATGTTGACGAGGAAGAACTCAACAAAAAATTTCTTTTCCTATGCTAAAAATATATTTTGGTAATGAAACTCATAGGCCAAAAGATTATATTTAAAGGTATTTTAATTAAGAATAACTGATATGTCATTCACCATAAACCCAGAAGCGGCGGCAGATTATGTCGGCACCGGACGGCAGAATTTAGGGAAGACAAAATTTTTGGATTTGGGAAAAGCACCGAGTGGCAAAATTAAGGAATGAGAAATTTTTTACGATTTAGGGAAAGCACTAGGATCCAAAGTTAGGCGGCGTGAAAATTTAGAACTTAGGAAGGCGCTTTGTAGCAGAATTTAGGACGCGTAGAGACTGCACCAGGTGGTACCTAGCGCTGGCCCTAGATAAAACCTTAAGTATATATGGGTCTTTATTTATTCAGGACTCAGATTAGTTATAAGCATATGCAAGAAATAAACGTAGGTATAGTAAATAACTAATGCAATTCAGGCTTAATTTCAGTACGCAATAGGAGCAAGACAAAATTTAGCGAAACAACTTGGCTTTCGTCGCCAATCTTGTGATACACAGCCAATAATGTATAACGAAGCTATTAAGCTAGGCTAAAATTATCTTTACTGATTCTAAGGCATTTCAGTTAATGTAGCAGACTGTGCTGCTCGCTAATCTTCCAATTTGATCCAGCTTATTATTTTTTGCAGACTGTTATTATTACGGCAATTTTATAAAAACAAAGCCTGAACTTTCGATTATATCGAAAAGAGTTTCCAATTCTGGAGACACACACAGATTTCACAGTAATAAAAATATTTATGCAGAGTATCTTTCAAAAAGTATGACAGGTCTATGAGATATATTTGAGAAATTGAAAGAAACAAAATGCTGTTGAAATGATTTTGGAATATTGCTTTATTCAGGTATTATGTGAAAATTTTGCTATGTCATATCTAGCCAGTTGACTGAGGGGTGCTCTGATGTAATCGTGGACTTCCAGTGTTGCATATGATGTATCTCAAGTGCTCAAGTTGTTGACTGGTAAAGGCAGCAGGAGCTGCATTGCATTGTTGGATTATAGATTATCATATTCATAGTTACCTGGCATCTTGAAATGTTGTTTAAGGCTCAATAACTGTATCCATTGTTGCTTCCTAGATATGTGTGTTTTCATTTGGCCACTTGACGTGAGATTACAAAATTATGAAACCACTATCTCCTAAATAAAGTGTTACACAAAAAACCATTCCAGTAGCATTTTGTTTCTCTTAACCTCTTGAATATGCCATATAAATTAATATTTTTTCTGGGACACCTATTTTGATACTATAAAAGGAAATTTTGCTATTGAAATTATTTGATCTTACATAGATAGTTATGCAATGATTCTAAAGAACAAAGTATGTCTTATGTACAATTCTAAAGAACAAAGCCTAAGATTATAGGAGCAGGTAGTAAATATTTATTTTGCCATATTCAAGTAAGCACCGAAATTACTTTTATGAAAAGTATAAAGCATTTAGTTGTTGACAGCAGATTTTTTTAATAAAAATACATGGTTCATATTAATAGCAAATATTCAAAATGAATTTTTCAAAATTATATTCAGTTCTTTAAAACAGAGATCTAGAAAATAGAGAAATAGAAATTTAGAAAAAGATTGATGTAAATTACATATGCACAGCTTTTCTTAAATAAAGGTATTGCCAGTTATAAAATAGTAAATATAAATTCACAAAAAAAAATTATTCCATGTTTTACATTATTCAGGATTAGCCTTAAAGAAATTATTAAATGCCATTAAATAAAAAAATGGGTTGTTTTTTATTAGGAAGCATTTTGTGTCATTTTTTAGAGGAAGTTCTCAAATTGACGACCTCCTTCTCTTGTGTATTTTTGTAATCAGCATCATTTGAGCACTCTTGACACCAGTTCAAACAGTATGGGAAGTAATCAGGCGGAAAAATCTTTTTGTGTACTTGAATATGTAAAAACGAATTTTTTTATTACTGCTGCACGGTATTATTTTAGAGCACAATATAGACGACAATCTGCCTCATTGTTGGATTGGACATTTAATCAACCAGAATGTGGCTGTGGTGTGTTGGCCACAGATAAGACCAGACTTAATATCATGTGATTACTTTTTGTGGGGATACATTAAAAACTAATCTTTCGTTTTTCTGCTTCCCTTCTTAACATTCTTAAATAATGCATCGCAAACAGCTGTTATGTCTCCTCACATGAACATGCTGAAACTTTGGAAATTTGGAAATAATTAAATGAAAAGACAGCTGTTATGTCTCTTCACATGGAATTTGGAAAAGCATTTGACGATCCTATTGATATAAATTGCATTGAAAAGAGTTACATGTAAACCATTTGAAGCTTAGCCATCTAAACTGTAGGGTATGTTTGAGACATGTTGTCAAAGCTTTTTGTTTCTGGAGTTATCTATTTTCTTTAGGCTAATCCTGCATAATAGAGCTAATTGTTACAGTAAATTCCATGATTACTAGCTGAAGAGTTGAAGTCTCTCTGTAATATATTACGCAAAGGGCTGCTTGCAGCAACTTTTGGCGATACAGCATCAGCAGGTTCAGGAGTACGAGGGATCTTGGGTCGAGAACTAAATGCAACAGTGTACTCATTTGCACTGAAAATAATAATAATAATAATGATAAATAAGAACTACTTTACCTTTATAAGCATAATTTGCTTTATAAGCAGTTAATGATTTATTTACTAAATAAAATAATAAATGCTGACAGTTTTTATGATTGGAGAAAATCAATAAGAATCGAAAATGAGAGGAAGTTAAGAGAAATTTTGTGTCATTTCCTTAATTCTACAATTTAATTTTCTGCTGTCCATCTAAATTAGACAACAGATAGATAATTATTGCACACATACAAAACTATCTTCCTCGGAAGTCATACATACTCTCAATAAAGAAAAGCTGATTTACTGTCTGAACACAAATGTACATGCACGATTTGAACTGATGTATTTACAGAACTTAATAATGGAATATGACCTATGCAAAATAAATTTGCGATTTTTGAAGCAGATTCAAGAAACAGAATGTAGGAGAGTCAGGACAGATATATTAAAACAATTGATGCAGAAGTCATAAACAGATTGCCGCAAGATTTTATATAATCTCAAGCTACACTTTAGAAATATGTTTTCCTAACTGACATTTCTGCTGAACAGGACAGAATGCCAGGAAGCAGTCATACTAGCTGGGGTCAAATAGCACACTGCGCACGGGAAAAAACACAGAAACAATCATGCAGATAATCTATTTTGCTGGCATTCGAACAATGAAAATGGAATGCTTGCATCTTAAATGTCATACGAGGTAAGGGTCGTATTTTGTTAATTTGGAGGTCAATGCTGCAGTAATTCTTTGTGAAAACGATGAATACTATTCTTGTGTAATTATTACAGCTGCTTACAATGGCTCAAATTTTTCGGATATTTGTGTTTTTCTGTTTTATTTGAAAATATCAGTTGCTAAATATTAGCAAATGTTTTTTCATATATGTTAATGAGCATCTATTTTAAAACCCGCATGTTTTTTTTGGGAAAGAAAAAAAGAGTCCACCCCCTCCCCAAATCTGAAAGGTTTCAGATTTTAAATTATGTCCAAAGAGGCGTTTTTTTTTTAACATTTCGTGTGTTACCTCTATTTATTAAATGCCATGTTCTTTGCATTTAAACCATAAAATTCAGTTCAGTAGCAATGTCGCAAAATAATTTTAAAATGAGCATATCTTTAGAATTTCCGATACACAATTTCGCTCCCGCTGGAGTCAAAAAGGTTCCCCCCCCCCCGTAGAGTGTTGCCAGTGCTCGCTTTTAAACCTTTGAGTTTGTTACTCAAAAATTCGTTAAAGTTTTAAAAAATATGAAACCGATAATAAAACAAATTCTAAATTTCAAATTTGGTCTTCCACATGCCCATATTCGTAGGAGGATTACGTCATTCAAAATTCGATGTCTCTATGGACTGTTGTTTTATCATAATGCGAGAAATATGCATACATTTATGCATATTTTTTATTATTTAATTTCTTCAAATATAATGCAGGACTCTAACAATTGGTGGCAACAGTTTGAAAAGTGCAACGGACATTTGTAGTGATTCAACGCAAAATCGCAAAACGAAAACAATAGTTTTTCAGGGACAAAAGCCCCTTTGAACTAAAAAAAATTACCTAAAATATTTTTGGTAAAAGTAATTTATTAAAAAAGCTCTGAAAATGAACTTCTATAAATATTCGACACTTTGATTGAACAGTTTATATTTAATAAAAACATTAAAGTAACGGGACATTCAATATTTCGTTGGATATCCTTTAGCTAAAATTACACTTCTTATGGGCTTAGGCATTGATTCTAATTTTTTCATGAGAGAATGTTCCGTTTGTTCCATTATTACATGAGATTTTCTGTTAATAGAGTTTCCAAAGAAGTATCATATTTCTTTACTTTTTGCCCCTCTAACTTACTTCATTCATTCCTGTTCTATAGGATTTAAATCTAGAAAATATGGAGAAGTTTGATAACTTCAGGACAGTTGTATAATAATAACCACGAGCGAGCAATTATTGTGTAGAGACATTTGGTATTTTTTGGAAAAGCCGGAGATGAAAAATTAGCAACCGCCTTCGCCGGGGAATCGAACCACGGACCTCTGGAATACCGGCCCAGCGTGCAGAACCACTACACCTCGAAGGCACGCTAGGAAACCGGGACAAATACCTTATAAGGGATATATGTTAGGATAAAACGTATATGTATTTTGCATTCCGAGTTTTCTTGTAGATGTTATCAGTTTTAATTAAGAATATTTATATATTTATGCTTATCTGTATTCTTTTCGATAAACACTAACTATCTTATTCCAGAGGCAGCGATACATACCATTATGCCTCTACCCCCAGCATATATATCACTAGATATATTGGTAGCTCATATATCACTAGAAGTACGGAAAGAATTTCTTCTCTTTTGAACTCCATTATATCTCCCATTCATGCCCTATAATTCTTGATTATTTGGCGTCAGTACTGTCTGACTCGAATTCAAACTAAACATTCAGCTTTTGTTGACAAAATTCGAAACAATTCGGGGTCTACAAAAAGTGTGCATACTGGCTTAATATTTGGAGGATTTCATTTGTCAAGTGTTTCGTAGTCCAACCAATAAGAAGGAACTAATAGATTTATCATTTTTATGTTATCCCTTACATTGAGAAGGAATACACGAATGATTTAATAAATAACTGATATGTAACAGAAGTTTCCTTTCCTTAGATTTGTAGCTTAATCATAGCATCTTTTTATTTTCATTTCCTGTCAAAAACTCACTTCAGTCCTTTGATGGAGACAGCAGCAGGATCTGGAATGACTGCAGCTTCGACAAGAGTAGTTGAAGGCATTCCCACTATTTTGCGTACTAACTGAGTTGCTTCCATGTCTAGCTCTAAGAAAATGAAAATAGAATGTAAACATTAGAACTTTCGTCTGCTACAAATTTTGAATATAAGGGTTTACATTTACTTTGTAAAAAAAAAAAAAAAAAACTGTGAATCTTACTTGGTGTCAGAGGTTGTTCTAATGAACTCATGGTTGAATTCTGTTTGACTGACACTTCACTTGCTGCACTTTTAGCTTCAGATCTGCATTTTCTAAAAAACGCAATTATAGTCAATTATTAGTAATGCGAGTTGTTTCTAAACTGATGCAATACATATTAAGAGATGATAGAACACACCGAATCAAAAACTTTTCAACCACCGAATGTGTGGTCACAAGTCCATTTCGGCAGACGGTATAGAAATAACAAGATACTTTTGATAAAAGTACGTAGGAATGAAAACAAAGAAGAGTCAAATTCTCTGTCTCTCTGGCCAAGATCCAATGACGATCACTGTCAGGACGGATTGGCGCTAACTTGGAATTCGAGGAATAAGATGGGGAAAAAATGTAAGGTTCTGTATAAGTGAAACCTTTTCATACCCCATATTCGGTTGTATCGGACCGTTAAGTTAGCGGGTGTTCTCTTCTATGGGAGTTCATTAGCGTTAGATGTGTTTGAACTGGTCATTTGAGTATTTCACTATGTTAGACCCACATTTGAGGCACATAAAGGATGATTTCTCTTCCTCATCCTGTTGAAAAGTGCGAATAACTGCAACTGCCGAAACTGAATCAGCGGACTCTACGGCACGACCAGGATTACCACGAGAAATTTTACCATTCCTCTGGTAAATTTATAGTATTTCCTAAAGGGTGAGCTTTCGACTTATGGTTGGGAAGTTTTCTTTCCTTAAACATTTTAGCTTCATTCCGTGAGTTTGTTTCCCTGGAAAAGAGCGATATAATTCAGAAATTATTATCGATTTTTAAGTCTTATTCATTGTTAAAATAAAATCTGAAAAGGTAAAGAAAATTTCTGTCGAAATTGGGGGGGGTGATTTTCATAAAAAGAAATAGCTAGCACATCTCAGAGATCTCTTTAATAACTGGGCCAAATGAATAAGAAGATACCGATATTTTATTGAAATAAAATACAGCTCATAGAGGGAGGGGATCTCAACTATAAATAGCTCTGAGGTGTATCCTCTTTCACACACGGAACATATTACAAATTACCGGTATCACTCACAGAGTAAACACTAAAGTAGAATTCTGAACTGAAGTACTCACTCAGTTCTGTTCACAGTTGTCGACTAATTCTAAACTAAATTACTCAGCTAACCCCTTGAATTAAACTGGCTGTCACAGCTCAGATGCAGCCATGTATATAATGTTACCCAGCCTTCAATAAAAATTGCTCTTAGAAATTTACCGAATCGAAAATACGTTTTCCAGAAACTTCCATAATATTGTTAAGTTGGTGGGAAATCAACATATGTCGTCAATTTGGAGACCAAAATCTCTTGCCAAGACCTGCCAGGGGAATTTTGCTTTATATCTCGATTTTTAGTGAAGTTATTTTAAAAATAAAAATATAATCGCTGATCGATTCAGAATTTCCATATCTACAAGATTATACATAAAATAAACACTGACGAATATTACACAATGCATGACTACAAATTCGATTTAAAAACTATACGCTAAAATTATTACGCAAAGGGCACCAAATTAACAAACAGAAACAACACTTAGCACTACAAAAGAAAACTGATATACAAACAAACATATATATTTATAGTAACACATTTAATTATAAATTATGGACGCAAGCATTTGCACTAAATTAGTCACACAAGTTTAAGAAATGAAATGAAGCGATCATTGCTTAGACTAAATACATTACACTGATTATATTATTCAAAATTTCAATTTAACAGTGTCATTAACTTCTAATTACATTCAGCTCATATAAAAGTACTTACGCCACAGGTGAAGATTCTGTTTTTAACTGAGAACTGCTACTTGACTTTTCTTCTGGAATCTGAAATTTATGACCTAATGTTATATAGAGAAAAAGATGCCAAATAGAGAAAACGTTTTGTACTGTATATGGTCAAAACAAAAACAAATGATTGTGTTTTAATAAATATTTCACGATTGTATACTGTCAGTGGAATTATTCAAAATTTGGCATTGTTATATGTTAATGTTCATGCATATTCAGCCTTCTAAAGGCCTTCTTAGTCCGCCTTTTGAATAAATAGGTTGAATACCAAAGAAAATTTGAATGTGCATTGCAATTTTAAGCGAGCATCAGTTTTAAAAATGAAGGAACTATCCAAAAGTGGTTCAAGAAGACTGGTAACAAATTTCTTGTTTCATTAGAGCCAGTGTAAGACCTTTATCGTAAAACATCAAGAAGAGTTCTTGCTGCGCTATTAAGGTACGTTCTCACAGGGTTTTATCTGAGCTAACGGAGTCACTTCCATGTGTCGACTCGACTAGCTCCGCTATGCTATGTTAAAATTTGTACTTGTTTCACGCATTTAGAAAATGCAGTGCATAGCTAAGTTAAACGAAGCACTATTAACTATATTTTCTTCTCCTTCTTTCTGGTCTTTTTAATTATTTGTATTTTAGGGCAATGGGAATTTCCTTGGTGTTGTTGAACCAGCCCACCAGAAGAAGAGTGTAAAACCACTAAACACTGGTAGTTCAAACGAATTTTATGCAGCCAAGGCGTTCCTGGGGAACGCCTTGGCTGCATGGAAGTTTTCATGGTTTTCTCCATGTGTAAAGTAAATACCAGCTAGTATCTCTTAAAAGTCTTGTAAACGAATATGTTAGGGCATATGTTACAAATATGTTGTAGGATTTTCAGTAATTTTCGAATCATGATAGAGCGAAACTTGGATATTTAGATGCTTGGATTTATACTGGCATTCAGCTGTTTCCTTCGAGCAACTCTTTCCAGTTATCGAGATTAACCCAATATTTAGGGCAGAAATTGAAAGTTTCTGAATTGAATTCCTAAGTAGAAAAACAAAGTGACGTCCTTTTACTTCTGAATTCCCAATATATTGCTTGAATGTGAATTTAGATGATCTTATGGAGCTAAGTTGCCTGCAGCATCTGATCAAGTCTTCGGCCAGCATCTAGACTCTGAGTTGGTTTCGTATCTTCGCAAGGGAAATCATTAACGGGAAAAATTGGTCACGAGGTCTCTTCTGACGAGTCTTTTTTTTTTTTTTTTTTTTTTTTTTTTTTTTGGTGCCGAATAAATTACTAAAATTATTTCTTTTCTGCCTGTTCAAGTAGGTTCATTATAGACATTTTTGTTATTTCAAGTGATGATTTAGTCTTTTTTTATTAATAAGGGTCATAATGTCACTGATAAGATTTTTGTGTCCAGAATTTGCTAGTAGTTCTTTAACAGCGTTAACATGTTTTAAACCGGCGCATGCACAGTCGAATCCAGCTTTCGCGATCTCTTCCTTTGAGCAGAAACAGCATCACCTGTGGATTTTACCTTAGTAGAAATTAAGCTTTTCTGGCAAGTTGTCTTTTGGGTAGCTCGGACAGGATTTTGAGGAACTGATTAGAACTACATCTCCCACACTTTGGTTTTTCATCCTTGAGAAGATTGAATGTGTAAGTTAACATCTTAGATTATTATTGCATCCGATCTGTCCCCGATCTAATATGTCGGTTGTCGAACCTCTGGCATCGAAAGCACATAATGGGTGTTTTCCAGGTATATGTTATGTACCTGTTTCACAGGTTTCTTTCTAATATTAATATTAACTCTAAAGAGGGTCTTGAGATAGTCTACTTGCCTTCCCACGATACATGGTCTGGAGGTAATACTGCGTTGCACTCCCGTAAAGAAATAGGCAGTAACTCAGAATCTCTGGATTTCTTCTTTGAGAATTGGATAGCCTTCTTGCCAGGAAAATTATTTTCCTTGTGTTTCTTTAGTATTTCTTTGGAATTATTGTCAGCAGAAAGACCTTTGATGACTACCTTAATCGAAAACTTGGCTTTATTCCTAAAAGTGTTAAAGCAAATGTCTACTTTCAAAATGCAGACTAACGCTCTTTCACGCATAGCGCTCGAGGAAAACGTCAGTCTGATTTCATCTTTCGTAAAGGTACCAGGGTAATCTATGTTCTGCTGCGAGAAAAGAGATTTAATTTCTTTTCAAGTCACTTCCTGGCGTAGGAAGATGTCCGAGGACAACCGAATTTTCCCTGGCTGAGTAGTGGGAACAGGATCAGCTGGTCGAAACCACATCCATTTTATCTGTATTTTCTTTCAAACTGAGGAGAGAATTTTTTGTGGAGTACCAGGAGCTTCAGCTTCTAGACAGAGAGTCAAACTGATTTGAGACCGGAATCTGGAGCCTGAATATCCTCCGAAGGGAGGACAGTGGTTTGTGTGTTCCCTGGGAGAAACGTATCTGCTTTGCGAATCCGTCGAAGATATTTTTTCTGTGAGGACAGTTCTGTAGGTTTTATGGATTCCTGTTTATTTTTGTTCTGTTTAGCATCACGGCCAGCTTCGTTGGTTATGATGGTTATAGCTGGTTTGTCCTGAGGAAAAATAAGCTACTTGATTGTTAAACTATCACCTTGGTGCAGCAAGAGAAAATCTATTTCCCTCTTCTTTTCGCATGAAGTAGCTTTCCAGCGAGAACTAGAGATTACACTTTCTCTATTACCGCAGCCAGTAGCCGCATATACTTTTTAGGTTCCACTCTCGCATTATGAAAACTTTCCTATCATAAGGAACATTCATTGGAAAATGTACTGGACAAGGTGAAACGATAAACATGATCTTCAGAAAATCTCTCTCGCTCTAGTCTGAGCAAGACTGAAGCGAAAGTGAGTTCTAGGAGTGCGTTTTATAAAATGGTAACTTGTAAGGTTAGTTTCAAATGTAGGCAACATCACAGGCAGTCGCTTAAAACGCCGATTTTCAGAGAGCGTCCGTTAAGTAGTTCTCCAGTAAGCCTGTAGCGTCATTAGGTTATTTTGATGCTGGAGACGTGAAAAATGAGCAATGCCCTCCACGGGACTCGAACCTCGACTTCTTGAGTACGCACCGAGTGTGCTAACTGTTATGCCACGAAGGCATGCTGGAATGAGGGAGAAAATACCTTATCCAATTCTCTAACAGATTGAATAATGCTCTAAATTAAAATGACTACCCAACGTATCTGTGTTCTATAAAATGTTCAATCCTGGTTTCCAATCTGCAGTGATCTGTCCCGAATAATGTTTTTGATACGTTAATATTGATGTCAGCTCTTGTCGAGTCTAATCTTTTTAAGCCTCTTGATTGGGAAACCTTTTTTGGCTGCTCAGTGTTGATGTTGATTCGTCAGGCGCACAGAGAAAAATAAAATTTTTTGACTGTTCAATGATCTTTCTCTCAGACTGTTTTTGTTGACTCCCGTTTTCGAAAAAATTTTACTTGTAAACGTAAACATTCATTATCGTCTGCACTAGTTTAAAAGCGAAATGTCAATTTATTTTCATTTCTTTATATACATATGCGTATTTTTAAACATAATTTTTTATTTTATGTTTAATCTCAAACATTAAATAATCCTGTCGACAAAAAGAGTGCCGAACAATTAGATGCTGGACAGTCGGAATTTTACTGTGCACTGTAGATGTAAAAGCAGTATATAATTTAAAAGTTGACTTACATCTTGCAGAGTCTTATAGTAGAAGTTTAGTAGAACTTCCCCATTTGGTTCGTTGTTTTCAGATTTCACTTTGTCACTAGAATCTATCTCTGGTTCTAAGCTGTCATCCTCCTAAAAATTAAAATAGTGTTAAATATATTCAAATTTAAATATTTAAATTTCATTTTAAATATTTAAATTTCAAAGAAGGAATGATTCTTTAAAATGAAATTTAAATATTTAAATACAAAAATGTATGCAATGTTTTATCCACTTTTTAAAATATAAAAATCAGGATTCAGTATTTAAATAGCTACAGTTAAAAGAGAATTGAAAAACATTAATAGAAACAGTTTATATACAATGTATAAAATATGCATAAAATCTAAAAATTATTCTTAAGTTTTACTGACAGTTAATTTTTAAAATATATTCTATAAAGTTTTACTGACAGTTAATTTTAGTAAATTCTGTGGACAGCCGTTAGGTGGTTAAGGTTAAGCTGCTTCACACCGTTCAGTTACATCTTAATGATGATAATTTATTTTACTCCGAGTTTCTGCCCTTATTTTACGTTACTTATAAATCTGAGAAGCATAATCAATAAAGATAATTTTAAAAAATGCAAAAATTTCATGAAAACTATTAGACATTGTACAAACGGTAGATGATACTTATGCTATGACTGGATATTTTCTTATGACGTACAATCCTAGAATATTGCTTGGAGCAGATTACAATTATGCTTTAAGTGATTTAATACGAAATGTTTACATTGCTATTGTTTGAAATATACAGCTTCATTATTGATAGAAATTATAGTTATATTTATTGATTTGACGTATAAGTTTTACAATGTTATTGCGCGAGATTTGGTTTCTTTGTAAATGTATTTTTTGTAATGTACACTCCTGAAAGGTACAATTTAAACAGGTTTTAATTATGGTATAGTGAAAGCATGATCTATTTAATAAATTTGTGCTGATGATGTCCAACTATTTGTGCCTGTTAAACAAACATAAAATATTATTATAAACCAGTAAAAGAGATTGGTAAAATGCGCAACAGAATAGAGAGACTCACTTGGTCATCGTCTTCTTCATCAGAACTTCCATCTTCAATTTGAACATCTGAGAAAGTGAAAAGAAAGTAAATAAATACCGTTTCAGGTTTTTTAATCAATTAAGGAAAAGCGAGCTATGCTACTTTCTTGTCACCAGTTTTAACCAAATCCGGTTTAATTTTACAGAAGCTTAAAGAAAATATGTTCGTGAAAAAGTATGTGCCTCTCAAAAATAGCTAGAACATCAAGGCTTAAGTTCTGAGTAACATTCATTTTATTTTATATTTCATTTTAACATTGCACACATTGCTAGCTTGATGTTATCAGTTGAAGCTATCATATTATTGATACATTGTGTTATGTTGCCAATCGACCACAATTCACTGCCCTACACTGATGATTGAAAACTCACAACTCACAAGTGCCAAACGGCCTTTAAGTTCATCGGTGACTACGAGTTTGATGGTCGCTGGCTCCATCAGTTACAGTCAATCCTATCCTTCGGTTTCATTTAATTTCACAATTTATTTAAATGTACTGCCTCTCAAAAACAGCTGATGACTACGAGTTTGATGGTCGCTGGCTCCATCGGTTACAGTCAATCCTATCCTTCGGTTTCATTTAATTTCACAATTTATTTAAATTTACTGCCTCTCAAAAATAGCTGATGACTACGAGTTTGATGGTCGCTGGCTCCATCGGTTACAGTCAATCCTATCCTTCGGTTTAATTTTACAGAAGCATCAGTGACCACATCAGTGACCTTATAGGTTGATCGCCAGTAACTACTACATGTTACTGGTGACCAACTTGTAAGTGGTCACTAGTAACTAGCATGTTGATCACCGTCACCTGCAGTTTTGGTGGATGCTGTGGCTTTCTTTTTTAATTTTATTAAAAACATTTATTATATTTTATTTCAATGCTCTATAATTTATATATTTATAAACTATTTATGTAGATTCTTCATCAGATACTACTGATATGTTAGAAGTAAAATAATGGTAAATTATTGTAGTTTTTGAGCTTTGGCCTTTTACAAGGGAGAGAGATTCTTATTTTGATTCTCCATTGAGAGGCCATTATCTGTAACATATAGGAAAGGGGTTTCCCAGAAATTTAAATTTTGATACATAAACTCTATAACACATCAACAAATATTTGCATATTTTATGTGTAAATAAAATTTAAAAGAAGTCCGAAGAAAAGTACCTGTGAAACAATTCAGTGTAAAGCATTGCCAGTTTTTTTTAAAATTCGGATAACAGTGAAATGGTTATAAATACACAAGTAGATGATCTAATTGAATGTTGTGCTTTGGAACATTCTTTTTTGATAAAAAAGTATCGTTGATGATTGCATAAAACACATAAATTAAATAAATTTTATTTTTAAATATTTAAATTATACCTGTTACGAAAAGTTCCAAAATCGTCTCAAGCTGTTTTTTCGGTTCTCCTTCTGCTTTCTGTAAAAGTTTCTGAAGAGCGTTTGGCAATGCCTGAAAATATCATATTAAAATAGAATGAATAATTCCCCTGCTATACTGCTAATGGCAGTCATAAGAATGAGAAAAATAATCGCAAAGTTAGTTATTTCATTAAAGAATATTTCAGTTTAAAACTCGATTCCACGGTCAAGTTTAACAATATTTATTAAATAAATCGTTAACAATTGGTTGAATATTACTTTATTATGATTGTAATTTACATAGAAAAGTAAAACACAATAACAACAAAAAGCATTAACATTCGAACCAATGATTAACTTGCACCTATTTCTACCAAAGAGAAAAGTTAATCATTTTAACGTACTGGTAGCTCTATATCCAAGTTTAACAATGCTAAATGAAGCGAGTCCTGGAGTAGCCCATGTTGTGTGTCATCTGTGGCTGTTCTCCTAGCCGTCAGCGGTCACATTACCCAATATTCGAGTGTGAAGCGAAATTCAATGGAGATTAGATTTGCTAATGATCGGCACTGCAATGAGAAATTTTTTTGACCCTCACAGGTGGATTGCGGCAACTGCGTAGAATTGACTGCATGCAATCAGTTCTACGCAACTGTTTCAGCAGTGTATATAAATTGCTATAATGATGATTTTCTGTGGTGAAGGCTAATACTTCTTTCAGTGCAACCAACTCAGTCTGGAAGACTGAGTTGTTATAAGTTTAATGTTCTCTATCAAATTTTAATCTCTTCATTTTCATTCATTAGAAGGTATCTCCTGTCAATCTCATACTCTCCTTTTGAGTCATCAGTGTGAACAGCCAAGGGTTTTACTTTAGTTGGTGGATTACAGACTGCTGAGATGCTAAATTCTGAGGGACGGTAGAGAAGTACTGTGTTAAATATCTGCATGAATATAATTCTTACCCCCAAACACTATATTTTTAAAACGAAGCACTCGTACTGCTGCATTTTCGCGCTGCACTGTTGCCTGGGAGAGAGCTTAAAGAATTTGTGGGCGAGGTTCTGGAGTCTATGCAGATACTTGAAAAAAATTTTGCTGAATTCAAAAGATTTTTATCGTATTAGTGGAATTTCATATGGAGGCCCTGTGCAGCACAATGTATTGTGCTACACCTGCGTAACAAATCTTAAGCTTCCTCGAGAATAAACATTAAAGTTGGGATATCATCGAGTTAGATAATTTGTGAGGGCGTACTATTAAATGGGAGATCCAAGAGAGAATGTCATCAATTATTACGTTATATTACTTCACGGCTTTCACTATTTTGACGTTCTTCCTATTGAGGCTGATGCAAGGTATAGGTTCTTGATGCTTATATAGAAAAATAAGCATGCTTTTGACCAGGATAAACAGGATCTTAGGATATCCTGTACCCTGTAATCGTTTGCTCTATACCTGACGTGTTTGTTTGGGTGGGCTGGGCTGCGCCCAGTTCCCTGTGAGCGTTTCAGTACATCTGGCCTCCACATCGAAGGTTCCTGAATGCAGAGAAGCTATTAAATCTTGCTGCTTTTACATACTGTGTCCAAAAAAGCCATTCAATTCTAAACTGTGCTCTTCAGCTGAAGCAGCGCACTCCTGTGCTGTGTCAAAAATTACGTTTTTCCCTGTACTCAGCGTAGCATCATTTACACAGTTGATACACTGCAGTTAGTTGAGTATGTCTGATCAGCAGTGCTTCGAAATCTGCTCCTGACCGCAGTTGTAATAGGCATAAGGTGAGCAGCAGGAGTAGCTGTAATGCGTAAGTCTCTGGCACCAAAAACACTCAGTGAATGTTGTCTGACTGCATGGGCACTGAATCCTACTGGAGTTCAGACTTTAATATACTTTAAAATGTATAATGTATGTCTAGAATCCAGTGACTGTTATACTTCACTGCTTGCGGTGGTGATCTTGGGTGTATTTGAAACTTAGATGCTGTGGCATGTAGACAACGAATGCTTGACTAATGTCATCTGCAGTGGCGAAAACCAATATACCAATGATGACGTGGATATTAACTGCATAGTGGGTTCTCTTAAGCTAACAAGCAACGCAAACTTAGGCTATGATTCACTGCAGTTAGTTTTGCTTTTAAATGACGCACGGCTTCTCTTGCTCCATAAAGCTACATATCGCTCATTTATAATCTCTTGCGTCATAAAGTTATTATCTCTCACTTAATATATAGATTTCTCGGTAATGATGTAGTATGCGATTTTTCACTTTTAGTTAGATATAGATAATATGGCGCCACTAAAAAGTTATTTTTAAATATGAAAATGAATACAAATAATTAATATATGAATGAAACTGGTTGCATTAATTAATTTGATAACTATTAAATTTTTAATTCCACTAAATATAAATTTATTTCAGTTTTACACAGCAAATGCAAAAATGGCCTTTAGAAGGACCTTTTTATGAGTTGTTCCGCAGTATACATTATACAGTAGGAAAATATATACCAAATGATCAAGAACAAATAAATGAAAACTATTTCGTTAATTAATTTATTAACTCATTAAATTTGAATAACTTCATAACATAATTTAGTACTAATAGCTTCATAAAATAAAAAATTCGACAGCTTCATATTCGAACATGCAGTAGAATGGTTGAGCAAAGAAACGATTAAAACAAGGACCAATTTCAGAGACGCAATCTAAAAATTAAATAGCTAACTAAAAGCGGTTAGATCACATACTATAGCAGTGGTGGGCGAACCTTTTTGGGGTCACGTGCCCAAAACCTCTTTGATTAAATCCCCATCGGAGAGCGGTTTACCATGTTTTGAAAAGCACAATGAAATTTGAAAGCTGGCCGTTGTTAGATGGTTTGTTTTAGGAAGGTAATTGCAGAAACCAACTTTCGGGTAATTATAATTCCTGAATTTACCTTCAATAAACACCTTCTGTTCAGCTTCATAATTTTCGGAAACAATCTTGTGGTTGGTGTTAAAGTGCCGTCTGACACTAGATGTGTGGCACACAACACTTTCCCCGCACAGAATGGATAATGCTTTCCTGTTGTGTTCAATAACTCCAAATGATTCTGTCCAGGTCTGTTGAAATGATCTTCCACTGGCAATGTTTAATTTTGCCCTTTTTGCTGGGGTCATTTGTGAGGGTTCAAGTTCGTTAGATTGTTCAACACCAGGACAGCAGTAACCGTTAACCCGGACATCTCTTTGCTAACCTTTTAACTTTAGATTTCATATGCTTTATTGGGCGTAGCTTTATTTCGGCTTCACTGGGTTTATTTTGGCTGAGCGCATGTGAATAAGCTTGGTTTCAATACTAAGCTTCCGTGTTTTGCTACATTGTGAAATTGCATGCTTTTACATTATATTTGTACATTCCGTTTAAGATATTAAATTAGAACATGAGTTACCTCAAAATGCTTAGATCTGAAAACTGGAATCCATTTAACAATGAAAGTATTAAAACTCACCGGCAGTCTGCAATAAATTTGAATTCGTTTAGCAAACATTAGCTGCTTCAACTTTGGCGTATTCTTTGCCATGTAACAAGTAATATGATTGGCCCAAACAATTGAAACGTCATAAATTGGGTCAATAAATATCTATGTCATTTCTATGGAGATAAATGAAAATCTTGTATCTAGGCTTAGGCCCTATGCCAGTGGCATTATGCGATAAGTAAGCGAAACGTTCAAGCACATACTAAAACACTTATTTAAATTAAATAGTATCATTTTATTGTGATTATTGATTTAGTCGCATGCCGGCTGATGAGGTTCTGCGTGCGGCACGCGAGCCATAGGTTCGTCATCACTGTACTATAGCATCAGCGACGTTTTATAAAGCAAATTTAATTTAACACAAAAGAAAATATGTGCAGAAAGTTATAGCTTTAGAAAAAAGAAATTGTTTCATTACATACATGCAACTGAAGGAAAATTCTACATTTATTTGCTGTCGAAGTGTACTTCACGTAACCATTTAACAGTTAATAATAGCGAAAATTACTGCGCCTTGTCACACAAAAGTATCTTAAAATTTAATCGTAATAAAATACTTAATTCAACAAAGCACACAGACACACGTATATATATCGAATATATAACCTGCTCTTTAGCATATTCTCGAACACTTGGAATGGAAAGAATGCGGTACAAAGTTCCATTTACATACGGAGAAATCTGAAAGTAAGGAAAAAAATATATATATTATAAATTTTACATAAAAAATAAAATAGCTGGCAATTTCTTATTTAAATTTTAATCATTGAGTTGTACTAATATTGTGTCTTAGCTTAATTAAGAAAGTTTAGTTAAGAAATAATAACATTAGAAGCCGAATTTAACGAATTTATCGGAAATGGGGGATAAAATTCTTTCATTTTATTCGCTAAAACGGGAGGTAATTAGAACAGACAAGTATGGAATGAAACATAAAAATTCTGCACACATATTTATATGGCGATTTCCATTAAAGTTGAATGCATAATATTATAAGGGATTTCTCCTTAGGGAAGTATTTCTCCTTAGTTGAATGCATAATATTATAAGATATTTGGCGAGCCTTCGTGGTGTGGTGGTCTACACACTGGGCCGGCATTCCAGAGGTCCGTGGTTCGATTCCCGGCGAAGGTGTTTGCTCATTTTTCATCTTGCCTGCTTCCCCCCAAAAAAACTAATGTCTCTACAGTGGCGCCCGAACTAAAAGGGTGGTGGATGATGTTTCTCCTCACCCAGGATTTGGCGATTGTGTTCCCTAAAATCCCCAGTCGCCCTTTAAAAGGGGGAGAATATAAGGTATTTCTCCCAACTTCTTGGCGAGCCTTCGTGGTGTGGTGGTCTGCACACTGGGCTGGTATTCCAGAGGTCCGTGGTTCGATTCCCGGCCTAGTTCGATTCTGCCTCTGAAATTATGGCAAGTGTAAATATTAATAAAAATACATAAGCATTTTTTAATTAGCACTCATCAAAATGTTCAATCTGTAAATGTAAATAATTAGATTTCGTCTATATTTGATGAAATTTCTTTTTTAAATTAAACTTCAATGTTTCTTTGACAATCTAAAATTTAGGCTTAACTCAAATAAAAGTTTGTTTTCTCCGGCTTATTTGTACACTTTTTTATTTAAAAATAATTATTATAAATTTTTGAAAGGAAAATTTGGATTAAAATCGTTAAAAAATGTGCACATCTTCTCCTTTTTAAGCATAGATACCCCAAATCAGACTATTTTATTAAAACATATCGGAGATATACGCAAATATAGTAAGTATTAAACATGCTTACCGATGATTTCAAAGCTGGAGCAGGACTAAAAGCAATGACAATGCCAAATCTAAACATTATTTCATTTTAGACTCTTTAGGTTACTTCACCTGGACTTATTTTTAGTTCCATTTTACTTTCAACGAAATTTAACAAATTGATTTTTACGAGAATATACACTCGTAAAAAATTTCTTTCGTTAAATTGTAAATCAATTTGTTAATCAATTAAAATATACTTACTTAAATTATCATAATATTTTAATTAAAAAGAACATGAAATTAAAATTTTTTTCTAAATTATGAATGTATTACAATTTTTTAAGAATGTTATTTAAGGAAAAAATTAGAATTGATTAACTCTGAAAGTAGAAATTTCGTTTATTTCTGTGAAGGTAACGTCTGAATTTATACCTACAAACATCACATTTTACTCAGAAATTACGACTTATGTATTTTTTTTTTTTTTTTTAGTTTCTCGGAAAATTTATAGATTCTTTTTCATCGCTTTTAGTGTTAGATTTAGGAAAAGTCATAAATTCAGCATTCTTTTACTTGACGATGAACCAATTCCAGCAATTCACAAGCTGACAATGCTAATATGAATACAACATCCGCAACCATAGGCACTCGCAACCAGACTGTTACTGATCTTGTGTTTGTGAAGAAACAGATCTTCCATGCAGAAAACGTTTATGGTCCCATGCCAGAGTTTAATACAGTCAGAGGTTAATACTAATGTTTCATATTGCATACTCACGCAACAGACACAAACTAAGATATTCACTGCCTGCGAGCCTTCAAAAGCACTGTTTTCCCTAAAAATTTTATTAATGAGCAAAATTATATCCTGAAGATACTCAACATGCTTATGCTGTACGGGGCTTACCTAGCCGAATAGTAAGGATTTAATGATATAAACGACTTTTGGCTTAAGGTAAAAAGGTCACAGGAGAGAATTATCTCGTTAAATTAACTGCCGAGCAATATGATGTTACATTCCTACCCCGGGCACCATATATTCAGGTTTTTATTCTGCACCATATTGCCCACAAACTTCTACAAAGCTTCCGCTGGAAGTTCTTCTATCAAATGAAGCTCAAGGGAAAAGAAACCTTGCGTTTGTTTTTCACAAAAAAATAAATAAATAAATTTAAAAAAATAAAAAATAAAAATAAAAAATAAATCTGTACATTTTTAATCTATTGTTTACTGACTTTTAATTCGATTGCCTGTACAATGATTTTTCTGATAATATGTCAAGGGATCAAGTAATTTAACTCTGGAAGAATAAAGCACAGAAATATAAGTCTGAAAAATGTGATCATCAAATTTTCATCTCAGTAATAAATTTTATGTTTTGTATATTATAGTTTCATTTAAATATTATTTATTAAATTTTAAAATACATAAATGTCTGTAAAATTTGCAAAATTTTATTCCTTTTGTTTGGTAGATAAAAGACAATTCCTAAAGCACAATGATATTTTGACCTTAAGGTGATCCACACTATTTGTTTAAACTCTATTTTTCTTTATTCTATCTATTTAGAATTTATAAAAATAAAAAAAATTATATCTTACTTTTGAATCTTGAAGTTGCAAAAGGCGTCCTAGGCCAGATATAAGTTCTACTTTTAATGGCTCGCACCGTTTTTTGCCTGCGTAAGACGCAATAATACATAAATTTATTAATTTAAAAGCATGGATAAGCTATTTTTAACATTAATCATCTGCAAATAAGAATGTAACACACACACACACATATATATATGCAAGTATATATAAAACAGTGCGTCTGCAAAGTTTTAGGAGTAATTATTTAATAAATTCCAGCAAATTTGGCAGACGATAACTGACATCATTTATTACCATGGCATCTCAATTTGTTTTTCCTAAATTATTGTCTAACTAGTGTCAGACTTTCTGTGCTGTTAATCATTTGCTTTGATCTGCTAACCGTCTGCTGTCATGGCTTCGAAAGGTCAGCAGATAATAACAATAAAATTTTACTGTAAAGAGTGAAAAACAGTAAAGTTTTTAAACAAAGATTAACAAGAGGTGAAATTTTAAGTTTTCTTTATAATCCTGAGATAAAATGATAGTCAGCTGCTTGGGTTGACATAGGTTCGCCAGAGCCACGGCGATTTTAGTTTAGAAATCCGGAGTAAGGATCATGTTTTAGGACAGATTTCTGAAGAGAATTTAGGGTAGTTAACTGAATAACTAGTTTTTGCCACACTACCATAGGTGTTCCATTCTCGTCAAGCAAGTTCTAGTGGGGGAAAGGCCGCCCAGTTGGTATAGCGGTTAATGACCCTAGCTACCGTAGAGATCGGTCTGGGTTCGAATCCCGAAGAAGGTATGTAACTATCCGTCCCTTCATAGTAGGCAAAGGTGGCCATCTATTAGGTACTTCCATAATGAAATGGCCATCACTTTCGGCCCTTGTAGTGGTGCAAGGCTAATGGCTATTAAAGAAAAAAAGAAACGTTTCTAGTGGGGACAAAAATTCACATTTCTCAAATACCCTCTTTATTGAGAAAATTGGGCACCTTGAGACCAAGGTTAGTTAAATCAACACTTTACGGACCTTGCCTTGAGGCTACTTTCTCTTTTCTATAGAAAAGCTTCACCTTAAGGGTAACAATTTTAACAGCACTGAAGATATTCAGAAAACCATAACCAGAATTTAAGCAATATTTGAAAAATATAAGTTCTGCGGAGAAATCAAGCTACTTCATGAATATGGCAAGCGTTGTCTCGATTTACAAAGCGTTGTATATCGAAAGTTCTGTAGTAAGAATGTTGTTTGCTTCAACTTTCCACTTTGTACGAATTTAGTCCTAAAACTTTGTAAACGCACTGCACATGCAATATTCGAGGATAAACGAGGCAAAAAATAAGCATAAAAGACTCAAGCTATGTATGTATACGTAAGAGTACCCATTGGACAAAGACTCAAATTGAATAACAGCGCAATTGAAGAAGATGTAGCATAGTTTGAAACCGCTGCATTGGAATGAAAAGCTCCAGCCAGCCACTCAATCACTCCTCCTTCAACCATATATGCTTGAGAAGTTCTCCTTAAATAAGAATATTTTAAAAAGTAAGAATAATCTCTTTAAATAAGAACGCTATAAATAAGAATATTTAACGAATATTAAAGTACGAAATTTTGACAAAAAGTTACCAAACGAAACGTAATGTATGATTTATAAAAATTAATTTTTTATTAATTAGTTTACAAAATATTGATTACATGAGATGCACAATGTGAATAAAATACATTTTAATTAATAAATTTGCAAAACACTATTTTATGAAATTCATAATATGCAAAACATTCATTATATGAAATGCATAACGCACGAAAAATTGATTTTCAAATGCAATGAGCTCTCTCGTTCGCTGCTACCTCCCGTAGACGACCACATCTGAAGGTGATTAATTTGAGAGTGTGAATAACATTGAACTGGTATCTCTCTACTGGTAACAAGAGACCAATATTATTTGGAACCGTGGCTTGTTGTATTAGAAAGAATTCATTGTATTCAAAATGATTCGCTTGAATGCCTTTAATGTATTACCAAGAAAATCATCAAGATTTATAATTTAGATTAACCAATTAGTTGTTTATTATATCAACAGCAAAACCTTAAAGATATCTGACTTTACTCGGAAACGAATCTGTGAGGAAATTTGCTTTGAGTTATACATGAGAAAACCAGTTAACCTTCTCTCCATTCGCTTGAACTACCAGGAATCAAGTTTAGAATGAGCTATTTGTATTCCATGAGTTTAGTCACCCGGACACTGATAAGCGAATGAAAAGTTCAGATAGATAAAAAATTATACGCATATACACTGAGATATAAGTTCCTAAAAATGAATCCAATAAAAACGCAAAAAACTTTCCTACTTCGTTTTTCAAAATTGTGAAAATATACATTATAACTGAATTCAGAATAATTAAAAGCACATACAAATTTCTTAAGGAATTATAATTCTTAAAATTAAAAACAAAATTTACTTTTAAATAGAATGAAATAATTTAGAATTAGCGAAATCTAACAAGAAGAAGATAAATTATCTATTATATAATATTAGAACCAAGGCAAAACTTTAAAAGACATCCAATCAAAGAAAGTTAGAAAAAATTGCTATACTTTCTGAAAAGTCTTTTTTTGATGAGCGAAGCATCTGTACTGAATAACCGCAAATTTACGAACATATTTTATAAAAAGTTCAAGAAATTTTATTTATAATTTGCTGACTGCTAAATCAAATCTATGCGAATTTTAATCATTTAAAAACAACAGTTGAAACAACTTTAAAATATTTAAAATATAATTCTGCGTAGTCAGAATGCAACACTATGAAAATGTGCTTAAAATACACGAAATTTTGCTCACAAAGAAGCAAGGTAAAGGGATCCAGCAAGGGGATGCAAAACACTTTGGGGTGGAAAACTTTTATTATAAAACATTTTGATTTGCAGAATTTTAATTATTTAAAAGCTGATTTAAAAATTTTTGAGTTATATGCAAGAATTATCATGAAATTTATCAACGAAACTAGGAGAACGGTTGTTATTGTAGCTTGAATTACTTGGTGGTGCTCTTGTTTTGTGTTTGTTGTATGCATTTTGTGGAGTTTTTTTTTTTTTTTTTTTTTGTACGTGTTTCTTGATTCTTTAGTTGTTTATTAACAGCTTATTTTCCTTAGTTTTATCTTGTTTTCTTCTTCCCTTTTGTGTCATTTTTCCAGTCGTAAATATGTGTTTGTAGTGAGTCATACTTTGCGGGTCTAGGACTTTTTGCCGTCGCCATTTCACCGTGGCCGTTTCGTCATCGGGGACGTTTCGCCGTCGGGGTGTTTCGCCGTCAAGACATATTTTTTTTTATATGACGGTATTATATTTTGCCGTATTATACTCGTATTATATTTATTTAGTTTAATAATTCTGTTTGCCTTTTGTATACTTAATAAAGATTGCTTGTACTATATATTGATATTTACAAGTATGAGATATAAAGAAATTACGCATAGTTGGAAGATTATGTCAGCATTAAAGAAAACTGGGGCTAAACTTCTAATATAACAGAATTTATATTATCGATTTTAAAACTATCCGGGCACAATATTTACATGATTCGCCAACATTTCTTGAACTTTAATCAGCTAGTTCAGAGAAATCCCTCGTACAAGCAGGAAATTGACAGCTTCATGAAATCTGAATGGAAACCGGTATGACTCTGGAATCTCGTCAGCACATTACTCTCTTAAAATTAATATGTCATGTGTAACGGTGTATTTGTATGAAACTGTACACAAAAAAATTTTATATATTATTTTATATAAAATGTTTATTAAATTAAATTAAATTATTAAACTAATGATTAATTTAAATCAATATAATACTGCAAGATATAATACAATCGTGTAAAGAAAAATATGTCTTGACGGCGAAACAGCCGGACGACAAAACGGCCACGTCGAAACGACCACGGCGAATAGTCCTATTCCTTACTTTGCAGCTCACCAGCGGCCGAGCGGTAAAGGCCGAGCGGAGCACTGGTAGTTCGGTCGGAGGTTCGAATCCCGCGAACGGGCTGGCTGCATGGGTGTTTTCGCGGTTTTCCCCATGTGTAACGTGTATACGAGCCAGTTCCCCTTAGAAAGTCCTCCACTAAGGCAGGTAGCCCTAGTTTGCTTTGCCATAATTAAATACACCACACCACCTTACTTTGCAACCTGGTGAGATGTATTTTTATTGTATTTTCATTTACTTCCTACTAATATTTTGGTTACTCGGAACATTTGGCCTGATTTCCTTGGGGTGGAGTAGTAGGATGATTTTCTCTCTTTTTTTTTTTTATTACATTATTTTGTTTAACTAACTGACCGGTTTTTTAGAGTCTTGGAGAATCGGCTGGGCCGCTGGCTGTCCTGCCTGACCACTCGATACCTTGTAATTTGCCAATAAAATTCAGTAACTAATGTATGCAAACATGATAAATCAAAACAATCAAATGAAGGAACCAGTTTGAACACCAAATATGACTGTTAATCTTCTAGTATTGTTGCCTAACATGTTCGGCTTCTAGGCTACCGCTCGGGCCTAAGTTTCAGTAATTCATTAATCTCCACTGATCTAACAAAAAGGTTTTATCTACACACAAGACAACTGTACGAGTATTACTTTATTTATTACATGTGCGAGTATTTTACTTAATAAATAAGTAATAAGTAAAGTATTACATACAATGTACTGCATATGTACATTAATATCAATAAACAAGAATGTACATTTCTGTTTTCATTTTTACACTTTTATAATCCTTACGATTAACATAGTTATAACCAAAATATTACTAGTGTATCACTACGTAAAGAGTAGCAAAAGTAATTATACTTAAAGTTTTGCTAAAAATAAGTATCCAAATAATAAAATTACCTAATACTAAGCTTCTTTAGGGTTCCCAGTATCATATCAAGTACAATATCCTCCTTAGGCTCATTGGTTAAAAGGTATTCGACGAGAAGTTCTAAAAGTTTTGTATTGGACGTCAAATACTGTCGTCCTGTTAAAAGTTATAAGCATTATATTTCTTAAAAATATTTATTGTATCATAATGATGCACTTCAAATGTCTCAAACCATGTGATGATAAAAGTGGCCAAAGAGATATTAGTGAAGAGATAAAAAAGTTAAATATTATTAATTTTCCTTCAAGTATCGACTGAGTAAAAAGTTTGTTATTGTAAAAAATCTACACTTTTATTACATTAAAATTTATTTGTTCTTTATTGATGTCAATGAAAATTTCATTAATAAGAAACATATTTTAATGTGAATAAATAATTAATGATGTTAGATTTTGCTGATGTAAAATATGCCAAATTAACCATGGTATTTTAACACGATATATTATAAACTACTAAATACGGTATTTTCAACGTAATTCAAATTTATTTCTTAAATTTTATATGGCTTTCTGATTTTTAAAGATTCCTATGTGCTGGGGAAATGACCTTATAAAGAGCCGATCTGAGACCCCTTATTAACAATTTGTGAGTTCAAACCTGTTTAAGACCCCCAGGTAAATTAAACAAAAACCTTTTAAAAAATTCAGTTTATGATGCATATGTAATAAGATTATAGAATAAAGAAAAAAATAATTGTAATCGTTTAGGAACAGCCAAAATTTTATGCTATAAAGCAGTGATATTCCCACTCTGTTCCCTGGAACCACAGGGTTCCGCGAGTCAAACCCAGGGGTTCCACTAATCAAATTATAAATTCGACATACTATGAGAAAGAGACTGACGTGCAATGCTTTGCAAATCTGAACAATTTTTTAGTGGAAAATAAATTGAGTTTAGATGTCGGTATTAAACATTTTACACTGGTGAAATAAGTTAAGAGAATTTGCATATTTGATCTACGATCTCCAGAACTAGAACTACTGGAGAGATTTTAATAAAAGTTGGTGTGAACATAAGTTGATATAATATAAACAAAATAAACATTCAACAGTTATATTAGACACATATGTTCGTGTGTAACACTCATGGGACTCTGGAGGTCTGAAACAGCAGTTGCAGAAGACAGAAAAGAAATGGGTTAATAGGTTCTAGGAAGGGGGGGTTTCGAGTTGCAATTGCCCTCCCCAAAGCGTCCCAGACATGCTGTATAGGGTTGAACTCTGGAGACCAGGCTGGACAATCCATCCGGCGAATATCCTTACTCTCAAGAAGTTCTTCGACCAAAAGAGCTCTATGTGGCCTCGCGTTATCGTCCTGTAAGATGAATTGGGCGCCCACTGCACCTCGGAAAAGGCGAACATAGAGCTCCAAGATCTCATCTCTATACCTCACACCAGTTACAGAGCCTCTGTCAAAGACGTGGAGATATGTGCGGCCATCCAACATGATGCCTGTCCAGACCATTACACCGCCACCGCCGTAATTGTTGATTTCGCGAACATTGGAGCGTAGACAGCGGGTCCCTGGCTCTCTCCATATGAAAGTATGGCGAGAATCGATGTTTAGGCTAAAACGGGACTCGTCGGTGAACAAAACGGTCGCCCATTGCTCCGTACTCCAATCACTATGCTACCTGCACCATGAAAATCGGATTCTTCTGTCCGTAGATGTGAGCAGGACGCAAACAGCCGGTCTTTTGGCAAACAACCCTCTCTCATTCAGTCTTTTGGATACAGTCACCCTTGTTACTCGGGTTTCTGTGGCTGCATACAGGTCCCGAGAGAGCTGAGAAGCTGTAGCCCCTCTGTTACGCCTCGCTAAAATGGACAAATAGCGATCTTCTCTTGGACGACCTTGCCCAGGCTTTCGCTCGATGGATCCAGGATTCTGGAACTGTTTCCATAGGTTGCACACAACGCTGGGAGTTAAATTAAACTCTCTGCATATCTGGACTTGCAATTTGCCTGCCTCTAGCCTCCCCACAATTCTCCACATCATTCCATCATCTAAATGTTGGTGGTTACTCATTTTTACTGTTCTGATGTGAATTTAACGGATTGCTGCAAGATAACACCAAGAAATTCGCCGAGGTGTGCTAGTGAACACAATTCGTCTTACCTTTCACGCGCTTATAAAGTCTGTTTTTCTGCTGACTCCGCCTATATACACGTGTACGCTTAAATATTTGCCGTACAAAATTTGCATTTTTATCTAGAAGCGGTGGTTTTTTCTTCAATTCGGTTCTTTTCATGCAATTCGATAAAATGTGCAAATTCTCTTAATTTATTTCACCAGTGTACAATGGAGCACTCTTTTCATTTGAAGAAAGCTATAAAAGAATATTTCCCAGAAGGAAAAACTAAGTACCACTGGATAAAAATTCGTTCGAGTACTACGCTAAATTAGAAGGTTTGCCAATGAAGGAACTTATTTACATACCAACAGATTCGACATTAAAATCTAAATTTAAGCAAGAGCAGCTCCTAAAGGTTTAGTTAGAGATTCATGCAGAACACCCAAAAATTTCTCATACAACTGTAAATATTTTCATGCCATTCGGGGCAATGTATTTAGGGGGAAAATGTTTGTCAACGTACGTGGCAAAAAAAACAAAGTATAGAAACAAATTAAATGCAGAATATGAAATATGACTGCAGATAACATTAAAACCCCTTCAAGCCGGGTAGCGAAAACGCGCGCTTATCGCGGAGGCCGGCAGTTTCTTCCGCGAGCGTCTCTCCAGGGCCGGGGGCTTTTTTGCTACTAAGCCTAAATCCATGAAATTTCCGAAGTATCAACGCATTGTTTAATAATGCTCTTTAGAGTATTTAAACGGCTTATGCTTTATAAATATTTTTTATATATATACTTTAATTACCTTATTTCTTGTTTAAATGCATATTTTACACATTTTATTTTAATTACTCACCATTTTATAACTTTTAACATTATACATCTGAAAACTAAATATATTACTTAAAATTCTCTTTTTGTATAAAAAATTTTAAAACAGGGATCTACACACAGTCCTACGTTACATTCCTTGAACTCGTAATAACTCATTTGCCGTTTTGGAGGATTTTTCCGGGAATGTGAACAAACGAAGCATCGTCGTCTCATTTTCTTATCAGTCTCTTCTGAACAAAGTTTTGGAAAATGTCTTTCAGTTAATCTTTCAGAATCAATATCAGAATATCAGAATTTCAGAATCAAATATCAGAATATCAGAATTTCAGAATCAATATCTGAAATATTTTGCATCATTTCTGCTATTTCATGCTCTGTTAAACATTTTCGACGCTTCGACATTGAAACGGTAAAAACAGAAAGAATTCACGTCTAACAAGATCTAATTATTTTCTAAAAACTGAACTGTAAACCGAAATACTCAACGCTTTAGCGCATATAAAACTTCTACTCACAATAAACAACTACCACGTGCGAATAAAGTGCGATTTAAAGAGACGTCATAAATCACGCCATTCGGAAACATTTAGTTCCCCGTTTGTTTATATAATCAAAAACACGTGTATGTGAGTCATGCTTCTCTCATTTCGAGTAGAAGGTCTAATGTACATGTATCTGAAACCATATGGACATACAGTGCCATCTTGTGGCAGAAATTATAGTTTGAAAAACGTTCCAAGGTACTGGCACAAATACGTGACAGTCGGTAGTAAACGCAACAATGCTCTGGCACGCCTGCGTGTCGGCCGGTAGATAAGTGTGTTCGTTGCTGGCACGTATACGTGACAGTCGGCGCGAAGGGGTTAAGAGAACTACAGAGTTCGATAGTTTGTGCAAAAAATATGCAAGCACACCTCAATCGCTAAATATAATGCGGAGATAAGTATCACCTGGAGCACGAGTTAATGCTATTAATGAGTAAATTACATTAATTTTATGTTAAATTTTTTAATAAGAACTACAATACATTTCTTCAGTTGTCTTTACATAAAATATCTGTAACATATTATATACTTTTGATACTATTTTAAGATATATCTTTCTAAGGATGGGTTGGACGTTCCCCCTCCCCCCCAAAAAAACCTTATTGTGTTAAGGGTTCCATGAGTCAACAAAGTTTGAAGACCACTGCTATAAAGTAAACAGGGAAAGAACAACAAACTAAAAAGTAAAGATTAAAACAAGAACTCGATATATCAAAGTATTTATATGAAAATTAAGATAAATACATAAACAAATAAAACATTTCTTGTAGCTTCTTTTCGGGACATCGGCGTAACTAGATGATATGACAGAATAGCCATGTTTTCGTTTTATTTTTCTAGCTATTAATAATTAATAAATAATAAAAATAAAAAATATTACATTTTTTTCTTTATTGTATTTTTCCTATTAAATTTACTTCAATTTTTAGCGCGTTTTTTAAGTCATACATTAGTTTGCGCTTAATTCTTTCATTTGTTACTTTAATATTTATAATAAGATTAATATAGTCATGCGATAAGTCTGATTTGTATACATGAAGTATTATTTAATATATTCATAAATTTAATGAATTTACATTTATTCGTATATTCAATGTATTTATACTTATATATGTAGTTAATGTATTTAAATTTATTCATATGTTCAGTGTATTTATTTTTATTCATAATTCATTACGTTACCGATTCAATTTGACACAATGCTGCATTTCTATAATGTTTAATAAAAGTTTTTGACATTAAGATAATTTAAATGTTATTAAAGGCATACGTAAGGTGATTTTGCATCAGCTGTAAAATATCAACGATTTAAAATATATAAAATATTAAAAATACAGTATATACTTTTATATTTTCTATGAAAAGAGAACAGAAAGAGAAATATCTGTACCTAAAACAAAGGAAGATAATGCATTTAGGAAGCGGGTAAAACTTTCTATGAGTAGACTATCATTTGATCGTATCAGCATTAAAACTTTCACCTGGTAAAGCAAATCAACACAAGAAAAATAATATATTATTAGTTTATCTCCTAATTCATAAAAATAATATTAAAACATTATTAAAAAATTTTCACTGGTACCGGTTCCGTAGTTGTAGAATGCAAATCAAGTAAATCGTTATCCACATATTCAAGAACAGCTTCTTCCTTCTTTTGCCAGTTACTTGCTTTAGTCAATCTCTTTAAAAAAAAAAAAAAATCATTCCAAAACATTCTTACTAAATTTCACTATTCACACTGTTCACACTGTTGTTAACTAATGCAGTGGTATCTCGGTATACATCCGTTCCAGATACTTGGACGTATACCAGTCTCTACATATACACTGCTGGCCACCTAAATGCGACACCCTGAAGGAAGCATGCAAATAACATGAAATTTACAACATGCATTAGCGGAGGTGAGGTATGCAATTGATTAGAATTTCAGCGCAGACGCACACATATCACGCGCGCCTGTGCCGCCACCTCAAAGCGCTATTTAAGGCTTGGAGTTTTCGAAGATTTCAAGTTCGACAATTGTATTTTTCTTGTGGTTTTTTTCAAAAAAAAAAAAAAAAAAAAAAAAAAAAAAAAAAAAAGAAAAGAAAAGAAAAAAGAAACCGATCAATTATGCCTCGTAGTAAACAGCGATCATCGTTTGATCAAGTATCCGAGTTCGACAGAGGAAGGATAGTGGCTTATCGAGAATGTGGGTTATCTTTCAGGGAAATCGGTAGTCGTGTTGGACGAAGCCAAACAACTGTAATGCGGATATGTGACCGTTGGATGCAGGAGGGTACGAGGGACCGACGAGTTCGATCGCATCCACCTCAGTGCACCCCTTCACGTGATGACAGGAACATTGTGCACATGGCAGTGACGGATCGCCAGTCACATCACGAACCATAGCACAGCATATTCAGTCTGTAACGCATCATCCAGTGTCTGCGCGTACAGTTCCACGCCGTTTACAGCAGAGTGGTCTGTCCGCAAGACGTCCATTGCTTTGTCTACCCTTCACACAGAAACACAGACGTCTCCGCCGCCAATGGTGCGATGAAAGAAGGATGTGGATGGCAGAATGGAATGAAATTGTCTTTACTGACGAGTCACGCTTCTGTCTGCAACAGATACGCGCTTCTGTCTGATGGTCGGATTCGAGTCTGGAGATACCGCGGAGAGATGATGCTGAACAGCTGCGTTATGCACCGCCACACTGGTCGTACACCGGGTATTATGGTATGGGGCGGTATTGGATATCATAACTCTCGCACTCCTCTAGTACGCATTGTCGGTACTTTAAACAGCCTGTGCTACATCTCCGAGGTGTTGGAGCCAGTTGTCCTTCCTTACCTTCAGGCCTTGCCCACAGCCATATATATTTCAACACGATAATGCGCGATTGCTTCCCTGGACGGCTAGCTCTCCGAATCTTTTGCCGATAGAAAACTTGTGGTCCATGGTTGCTAAACATTGACTCAGATTACATCCCAAGCTGCCACACCAGATCAACTTTGGCAATATGTGGAAGCTGCTTGGTCTGCTGCACCCCAAGAACACATCCAAAGTCTCTCTGAATCAATGCCGAGGCGTGTGGCAGCGGTGATCTCCAACAATGGCGGCTACTCTGGCTACTGATTCTGGAAGGAACCACACTTCACAGAAGTGGCATGTTATTTCAGAAAAAGTCCGATTTTGTGTCAAAATAACTATGGCAGAACAATGCTATATGTAAATCTAATATATATCCTAAGTCCCGCTTTCGAGACATGAAAAACGCAATTTGAATTTCGTTAATCGGCCCAGTAGAACGGGAGACATAGAACTGTTCGCCCCCTTTTTTTTTGCAGTGTACATACATGCTTGCATATGTTAGTACAGACGTCATATGGAAAAAAAAAATCTTTTTCTGTCTGAATCCATTTAAAATCCATTTTACAATCCATTTTGGAAAAAAAAAATAGTTCTTTATTCTGTCTGTACGTATACATTTAACGCAAAAAAATGTTTAAATGGATTCGAGAGAGGTCAAAATAGGTATTTTCAGCTGAAATATAATGCCCGAAATTCGAGTCCACACAGCACGTATACCAAGTTGGTCGTATTTCGAAGTGGACGTATGCGGAGTCACCACTGCATATTCATTTCGTTTTGATAATAAAGGCGAAAAATTATGCTTACCCATCGAAGAGCCTGTAAAAGAAGTGATCTTTTATAATCTTCAGCACCTCTTAAATCTTGTTTCAGTCTTTCAAAATTGAGTTTTTCTGTTTCTGAGATTTTCTGTTTCCTAAAATTTAATACACATTGAAAAAGTTAAATCAGGTAATAAGTGATAAGCAATATATTTTATGAAAATTTGCTTACTTGGAAAAACAAATTCATGAATGAGGGAATTTGTTAAACCAAGATAAATTAATGGGAAAAGAAAGAAACTTATGCAAAATGAAACTCAACCATGAATCAAGATTATAATATTTTGAAAAATTCATGAACAAAGAATAAATTACGTCAAATTCATGAATTAAAATTAAATTGTGACAAATGAAAAGACTGATTCATTTCAAGCTATGATTTCAGTCATTGAAGGAATTTTTTGAAACGAAGGTAAATTCATCGGGAAAGAAGGAACTTAATTCAAACTAAGACTAAATTGCGAAAAGTACATGAAATGTTTCTATTGAAATTCAGAAAAATTCATTCAAATTCTTTTATAAAATGTCATGAATAAGTGAATTTTTGAAACCAAGGCAAATTCACGAGAAAGGGGGGGGGAGAGGCACGGAAGAGGAGAAAACGAAAGCACATTGAAATTCAAGCAAATTCATAAAACAAGAATGAATTAGGACAAATGCATGAAATGATTCACTTGAAGCTAAGGTATTCATTGAAATTCACTCATACCTGTCTATCAACGAGTGAAACCAAAACAAATTCATAGGCTAAAAGAAAACTAATGCTAACTAGAATTCAAACAAAATCAAGGACCACAACTAGAATGTCATAATTTCATGAAATAGTTCTCTTGAAGCTAAGTCTATTGGAATTCATTGGTGAAAATTCATGAGTAAGTGAAGTTTTTACACAAAATATATATTTATGGGATAAAAGGGGAAACTAATGCTATAGTCATTAGGATTTTTTGAAACTGGAGATGTGAAAAATGTGCAATGCCCTCGCCGGGACTCGGACCTGGACATCTCGAATACGCGCCGCGTGTCATACAGTTACACCACAAAGGCATGTTGGAAAGAGGGAGAAAATACCTTATAACGATCTGGAATTCAAAAAAATTCCGAAACCAAATTAGATTGTGACAATTTTCTGAAATGATTCACTTGAAGCTAAGATTTATTTCTTTAAATTCGCTCATAAAAAACTCATGAACTAGAAAAACTATAAGGTATTTCTCCCGCCTTCTTGGCATGCCTTCGTGGTGTGGTGGTCTGCACGCTCAGCGCGTAATTGATAAGTCCGTGGTTCAATTGCCGGCGAATGCGTTGCATATTTTTCATCTTGCTTGCTTCCAAAAACAAAAATACCTAATATCTCTACAAAACTAAGGAAAATTCGTGGAGGAAAAGAGAAACTAACACTAACAAAAAATCAAAAAAATCCATAAATTAGATTAAATTGCGACAAATTCATTAAACGATTCATTTGAAACTAAAATGACGTCATTGAAATTCCTTCATAAAGATTCATGGTTAAATGAAGTTAGTTTTTGAAATCAAGACGAACATGAGGGAATAGAGAAATTAATGAAAGTGAAATTTAATCTATTTCGTAAACTTTGATGAATTTATGAAATGACTCCCTATAAGCGAGAAAAACTCTTTTATATCTATTTCATAAACGAATGAATTTTTTAAAAAGTCATATTCTTGGAGGAAGAGGAAACTTAATGGAAAATTAAATTCAGAAAAATTTATGAATACAGACAACATTTAAATTGAGACAAATTAACAAAATGATTCATTTTAACCTATAAGACAAACTCATTCAAATTGATTTATGAGTTATTATCAATATTTTAATTTATTAATTTATCGAGTTCATTACTAACTTATCTATAGGTATTTTTGTGGAAATATGAGATTCACTTCCTTGGTCGACTGAATTGGGTGATTCACTTCTAAGTTTTCCTAAATCAGGAAGATGAGTAGTGCATGCAGCTAAAACACAATCCATATCTACCTATAAGAATTATGCAATCGGTATTTTTAAAATTCCAATTTTTAATAGCAAGAATTTAGTTGTAATTTTGAAGTTCACAAAAATAGTCTAACCAGATTCCCTTTGACAGCATTTTCCAGAGCTGTAACTAAAAGTGAAGCTACAGCCATCAATTGTCTGCATTCTTCCTGTAACAAACATTAAAACAAAAGACGACATTTCAGAAGTTTAAAGGGACGTATCAAATTTGCATATGAAAAATATATAATTGCCAGAATGAAATAAGAATAGAAAAATTGTAAAAGTAATTTGAAGCCTGATACATCGCACGTAAATGTTACTTACCTGCAATTTCTCACATTTTTTTGCGTGAAGAACAGATCTTTTTTCAGATTCCTCAATGTGCCTTTCCAAATACTGTAATTCTTTACGAGCATCTGGAAAAGAATGCGTATGTGATAATTCGCAGCTTTATTGAAAACAATTTGACGTTAGCTATATAAGAAGTAAGCTCAGCTCCTTAATCGGCGGAAGTGAGGTCATAGAATAGGGACCATGGACCTTATAAGATATTCTTATAAGGTCCATGATAGGGACGTGTCTTGTGAAGCCATATTGCAGTCATGTGATAAGGTGGTGGCGTAACTTTATTCAAAAACTAGTTTATGCAAAAACTAGTTATTTTAGAAGAAAGTTTAGCTTTAGAAGATAACAAGCGATATTGGTCTTTTATGCAGGTGGTCGTCATAGAGAGCTTATGTTCAATACTGATGTATATTTTTATTATCAGAAATACTGGTTACATTTTAAAGTGGTCATATAAGAGAAGTGGTCGCTTCGAGAAGTTCTGTTATGACTAATTTTGTTCTTGAGATAAATATTCTTACTAGTTGCGAAAAGTTCAAATATTTGTAATTCAAATGCATTAAAAAAGAAAAATAGAAAAGATGGAGTGACCTAGATCTATCTCCTGTACTTGAAAATTAAAATTTAAAAGATAAATGTGATGTGCATACCTTGCAAATCTAAATCTCTATTATGCTATGATAAGAAGTCAAGGAATTTTTTGGGATCCTTGAAAATAGTACTTATAGTTGATAATTATTAATTCTTCAATAAAGAATTTAATATCTAAAAACATAAAAATAATTCGAAGTTGTTCTTGCAATCCGTTAGTCATATAGCATAAGAAAATCAAGAAACAACCTAAAATATACATATAATCAAGAGATAATTATTAAATCAAAATTAGATCATAAAAGATGGGGCAACCTCTAACAGGAATTGCACATATCAGAATTAAAACAAAAATATAAATACTTCAGAATGAAACAAAACAATTCAATAAAATTATTAAAATGATAAAAAAATATAAAACACTGTTGAAAATTCCTTAGTCTTTTTTTAAGATGTCCAAGAAATTTCAACAGAGCCACATTTTCGAATTATATCTAGGCAATTGTTAACATTGGAAACATTAAAAAAAAATAAAAGCAAATGCCAATTATCAAAAGTAAAAGAAAATGTCAGTTAATAAAATTAAAAGAAAATGCCAACTAAGATTAGATAAAATTAAAATAATTAAAGTGGTTTAAAATTGAATGAAAGAAAACTTTTAGACACATTTTAATTTAATTAATCATCAAGAAATAGCCTGCTCAGAGGCGACTCCACAATAAAAATGATAAACATTTGAAAAGGGTAATAACATGAATTGTCCGGTAAGAACCAGGAATAAATCAAAAGCATCATTTTAATTTGAAATTTCTCAACATTTTGTGTATATATATGTAATGAAACTGTGGTTTGAAGGTGGCATGATGACGCAATTTAGCACAACATATCTTGAAAAATCACAATCTTTACTTTTTTCCATGCATATCAAATCATCCTTTTTCGGACAAGATACTTCTTAATAATATTTGAATAGAATAACTCTCATTTTGAAGTACGACGTCATCTTACGCAAGTAAGCGGCAGCAGCATGGATGAAAAGCGTCTTAACAGCAGGAGAGCTAACGCGGAAAAAAGGGCAAGGTTATAGTACTTTCATAGCAAGAAGGCTGAAGTTTCAGTTCACAGTTTTGGTTTAGAATTAATTTGATTGGACGAGAGGCATCTGCATTAAAACGTTACATAAGATAGAAAAGTCTGGAACCTGTGAGAAGAGATGAATTTAGGGGCAGATTACCAAATTTAAAATGTTAATTTTGAGGTCGTCAATTATTTTTTTTGAAACAGCTATCATATTTTGTTTATATCTTACATATATATATATATATATATATAGTGTTTATACATTTTTAGAACGATTTCGATAAAGAATTAAATAAAGCAAATATCTTAGAATAAAAAAAAATTGGAAAGCTAAGTGTTTGAAATGAGAAATATCACCTGTTACTTTTAAATTTATTCTTCTCTCAAACTGTCGCATGTAAGCAAGCTGAGGATTAAAAGACAAATTTTTGTGCTTCCCCCCCCCCCCGATGAGAAATATCCCCATTGCATAACTCAAAAATGTTGCGAAATGCATGCTATTAATATTTTTATGTGCAAAATCAGCATAATCGGAAAGGGAAAAAAAAAAAAAAAAAAAACCCTTCATCCATTACTTTTACGTGGAAATAAACTTCCAAATGAATACCTGAAAAAGGTACACACTGTTTGTAATGTTTCGAAAATGAAGCCATTGGTAACAACAGAAAATCCGCCGACGCAGAAATCCATTGTAAAGTCTTTTTAAGTACGTCTGTAACAACAATAAATGAAATAATAAACCAAGTAATTGCCTTACGCATTTTATTTTCGTTATTATACATGCAACTGTTCTAAGCATAAACATTTCATTCTTACGATTTTGTGTTGCCAGATTCAAAAAGTAAATCAAACTCCGAGGGTAGGAAAATCGTGACTAAGGTCACTACGACACTGTCTATCGAGAGGCCGGAACACGAAGATTTACAACTTAAAGGTTAAAAAAAAATAATGTTCACCAGATTTGGCCAAGGCATGTGGCTCAACGCAGAGCAATTTGTAGAATTCCATATGAAAACTATTTAGAGAGAAATAAATAAAAATACATCGTAACCGTTAACAAAGAACGGATTTATTCAAATGATTGCAACCAAAGAAGGGTATTTATTATCAGAAAGCGACAGAAGAAAAATGTACAAACCTAGTTCTGTCAGTGTACAGAAAGTTTCAGTAAGAGATTTATAACTGTCACAAGATTCTCTTACAGAGGGAAATTAAAAACAAGAAAAGTTAAAAAAAGTGTTAAAATCAACTCAATGTACTATCAATAGAAAAGTTTAAGTGCGATATTTGCAGAAGAAATTCTAGTTCTTTATACCAATTACTTTCATAGAGTGAAAGTTCATCAAGACAAAGCAACAAGTCATTCTTTGGAAAGTACCACTTTACTCCTTAAAAAATGAAGACTGATATAGGTACTGCATATTTAACTTTTCAACTTATTCCTGAGAAGGCCACTAACGTTTCACCTACTAAACTTTTAGATTCTTGAAAAGATCCTTATCCAGCTGGATAGCCACCAAGATCGGAACACTGTAAAAAGTAGTAGAAGAGGAATACAAATCAATAACCCTGGAAATTTTATGAAAAGCTCTTCTATCATCAAAATCACAAAGCAGATAAACCCAGAAAAAAGACTATGCCATTGAATATTTAAAAAAACACTCTTTACTCTTTAAATATTAATTAAATGAGAAATCGTTCTAAAAGTGTATAAATACCTTCTGTATATTTATTTTGAATATCGTATCACATTTATTAAAGGTGAAGGATACATATAATTCTATTAATCTAGGTTCCTGCAGTTCATCGTCTTTCCCTCTCAAACCTTCAAATAAAAAGGCTTCTAAATTGTTTCTCAGTTTCTTCACCCAAGATTCCTGTAAAAAATTTTCATAAATGTTAATAAAAATTTTTACTTAAATGAAATTACAAAACAGGTTAAAAGTAAGCACCGCGATCGTACATTTCTCTGCCTTTATAAAGCAAGTAAGTAAAGTAAAGTAAATTGTATACTTGTCTTGTGTGTCTATTTGACCGCACTACACGGTCTACCTTTTGGTGCTCTCCATAGATAGGAGACGCGATCTTAGCAAAGCTCGAATTTCGAAAGCAAAACTACACCGCACGTTCTACGCATCCCAGCCTCTGGGCGGCGGATTAAATAATTCTTCAGTCACAACGCGGATGATGTGCAACCTGTGAAACTAGAGCTAGACTGGTCGTCTAATTTCCCTCCTGCCAAGTGGACTTTCGACATCAACCCATATGTGAGCCCCCGAATTAAAAAAGTTCTAGGCTTTACCCCACTCCCTCAGGTTACAGGAAACTTAGTTTAGTATATTTAACATCCAGAGTCGTCAAAGTACTGATCTCATCCAACTGTTATTGCACCATGTTGAAGGGGGAACTCATCCCCTTTGAAACCAGATGAAGGAGGGAAAGCTGTCTGTATATGAGACGACACCAGTACAGTAAACAACTCCAGTAACAGTAACTCCAGGGGCGGATAAAAAAAACGAATGCTTAGAGAACTTTACCTTTTGCTTTTATTATATAAAAAATGATCGCATTCTCTCATGCATGTTTCTGGGGTGTTCAGGCAGCAGCTGAAAGATCCATCATTCGAAATCCTGGCGATGACACAATCCGTTTAGTGGTTTTCCTGGCTCCGCAAAAAATATAGAACGGGTCACTACGAATGAACGCAATGGTTTTTAGATAAAACTAAAAAAATAATTAATTACTTCGCCAATTCCATACAGTAAGTGTTTTCTAAACGTTGTTATTTCTTTTAGAAAGAATATTAATTTCATGCTCCTAAAATGTACATTGACTCTCGTAGGAAAATATAAACTTTGAGAAGCACGAGGTGTTGTGCCAGCCGGCAGTCTGGCATGCATTGGGCCTGGCAAGTTAAGCGTGCTAGATTGGAGGTTGCCGCTTAAACGATTAGTTAAAAAAAATCTAGAAAATCACTTAATTAATACATTTTTATTATTATTTTAAAAGAAGGCGAAGATTTTGTTTTATGACACTCTTCACATTTACCTAAACTACTTCGTTTGAGAAATTTTCAAAATTTCATAATAGATGCATTTTTCGATATATAAAGCCCAAAGTGAAAAATGTAATATTATGTATCACGATAAAACATTTTTTTAAAATGAGCTTTTAAAAGTGTGCATAATGGAAAAAATCATAAATGGTACGGCAGATTCCATTGCAAATGGCCGGCAGTTAATCTATATTGTTTTATGTAGTAAATTTGACAGGAAAAATGAGATTAATAAATTAAAATGAATATTAAATGCAAAACCTTTTCTCCCTCATCCTTTTCTTCTTCTTATTTTTTAATTAACATATACAAAACAGCAAAAGACTTCTATAGTAAGCCTGATTTCAAATTTCTGTATTAAACCACATTCAGTACGACTTTGCTCAATTCCGACCGTTTTCCCTTACCAACCCCTTGAAAGAACTTTTGGTTCGTCCCATATTTAGAGTGCCCCTATTCCGCACTATACATTGACAAGCATCCATGCCTTCTCTAGGATTCGAGCCCGGGCCTTTTGGTACGGCAGTAAGCGTTGCTAACCACCATCCCGGTTGGGCGGCAACTTTTAGGTTCTTTTCGTTAATTATTTATCATGTTAATTTTACACATAAAAATTATAATCAAATTTCTTGAGATTTTATTTTATAAAAAGGCCTGAAACGGACCGTTTAAGAGTACTGATTAGAATCGCGAAATTTTATTTCATATTTGTAAATACCAGAAAAAAATCAGCAGCAGACCAGGACGATAATTAAAAAGTATGCATCGATATATACCTGGAACAACTCCGCAAATGACGGATGCGTGTTTGGGCGGGGTACATAGGGTAAAGCGTAATACGGTAGAAGTTCTGCACAGTCACTCAGAACCGATCCTTTACTTTCCAGATAATAATGGAAGTGAAGCATTGCCTCATCAACCTCTTCTTTACACTAGAATGAGGAATGAAGTTTTATCATAAAGGAGAGAAGATAAAAAAAATGTAAATATAAAAGTAAAATTAATTTAAATATCAAGTAATAGTGAAAGAGAACTCTAAAATCATTCCATTTAATTAAGCATTCTGACCAGAAAATGTATTTGTAATAATCCATCGAGTGTGGTTAAATAAACAATCAAAGTCCATGTTGAAACACTCGTGCATTTTATTAATCAGCGAGATCTTTCCGCTGTCCTATAGGATTCAGATTAGACTAGGAAAGAAGAATCTTGATTTCATGCTTTTTGATGAAGGCTTATCCAGATTTTCGGGATATCTGACTGGGAATGCACTGTATATTTTCACAATTATGGGATACTGATGGAAATGTATTGTAAGATTTTCCTTGATGAAATTTTCTTTGAGTTATTATTGAATTTAATTTGAGCTGAGTGGCAACTTAACTGAATGCCTAAAGCGACTCTCTAGAGATTAAAAAATTACTCTGAAAATTACTCACAGTTAATTAAAAAAAATGCAGCTTCAAATAGTAATATAAATATATTACATTACTGCATTATACAGCATGTTCAGAGAAATCCTTAGGCAGCCTCTACTTTTGCAATCATTGAAGGCAGGTGTTCATTTAAAAAAATTTCGCTTCTTTTAATTACCTCCAGATGAAATTTGATATCAGCATAGATTGATATAATGCAAAAACATATATCATGCAACAGTCATGAGGCAGATGCATGACGCGTAAAGTTCTTCAGTGCGAGAAGGTCTAAAACAGAGGTTTCAGGATCAAACAAAAAGGAGGCTAATGGGGGTGTGATCTCTTCTAACAGCCGTAAGGTGTCACAACGTCAGTTTGTACAGTAAATGAGGCTGAGGCACTTTATGGATCCCTGTAGCAATCAGTCTCATTCCTGTGGTAAGCACTTTTAAGTCCTGACAGCTTTGAGAAATGAAAAAGATAGTTGCAAATGCTTTCTTAAGAGCGTCCCAAACATGAACTATAGTGTTCTGGAGATCTAAATGACCACTTCGTCCAGGTGATATTCTCACTTTACAGAAAATTATCCACCGTATAAGCACTATATGGACGAGTACTGTTATACATAAAAATGAACTGAAGGCCAACGTTCCCCTGAAAAGGGAAATGTAGGGTTGTAAGATATCGCTCATTTGCAAGAAGCGATTTTGCTGTCTGTGCCCCACTCACAAGACAGCCCGTTTAACATTCTACACAGAACATCAAAGTTTGACTAAGAAAAAATGTAGGATTATTCTCTTCACAAAGGAGTTCGATTCAACCTATGCGCTGATTCTCAAAGTACCTTCACCTGGAGAGAACCAAGGACCCGCTATCTGTCTTCCAATATTCGAAAAAAAAAAAAAAAATGGCTAGCATAGCAATAGTCTCCGCAGGCGTCGAGTTGTATGTGTGCAAAGAACATCATGCCTTTGAGAGAAGCTCTGTGACTGCTGAGAAATATAGTGAAGAGATCTTACAGGCCTATGTTCCCCTTTTCAGGGCTGCAGTTGGCTTCCAACTCATTTTTATGGATGTCAACTCTCGTCCTCAGAGGGTAAATCTGGTGCACATTTTTCTGAAAAATAAAGATATTAACTAAATATATGGACCAGGCAGATCTCCGAAGCTAATTAAAGCGTGTCTGGTCCTTCGTAGCAGCTGCAACTCACTTTCCTTTCCTGCTCTCAGAACCATCTACGATCTGAAAACAGCATTACTATAAGAATGAGATCGACTAGCAGGGATTAAAAAAAACTGTTTCACTTCCAGCATGAAATCGCACTATGAAAGCTATATTAGGGATAGCTTTCATAGCGTTCCTATATTAGGGAGGAACCATACTCCCTATTAGCTTTCTATTTAGCTCGATCTTGCAGTCTCTGTTTTAGACTTTCTTGCGCTGAGATGCCTTACGCATCATAATATGTGTGAATTATAACTGTGTCATGATACATTTTTGTATTATATGAAACATTTCATTCAAATCTATCCATCAGTTTTATGGATAATCGATGAAATGTAAAAAATTTCTTAAATTTGAATACCAACATACTTCCAAATGCAAAAGTACTTTAAATGACTCAAATCTTCATGTTACGTAGTTTAAAATTAAAAAAAAATCGCCTTTGGAAAAATTCGAAGTCTAACTTTTTAACGCAAAATTAAAAATTAGCCGAAATATTAATTTCAACATTAATTTTTTTTTTCTTTTTTGTTTAGAATTTTCACTGTCAGATTCAGCTTTTCTTGAGAGATCGGTTTATACGTAAATAATAATAATTCATGTTTGATTTTTTTCCACGTTGTATGCTGTTCAGTGATATTCCTTAGGAAACCGCTAGTATGTAACATTCTATAACAGGAGTGGGCGTAACGCGATTCACGGGACGCATGCGGCTCTCGCAGGCTAGTGGTACATGTGCATAAATGCAATACATGTGCAAAATATGGTAAACTAACATTACTCATTGTAAAAAAAAAAGTAATGAATTTATTTCATTCTTTTCTACAAATTTATCAGACGTTTCTTTCCATTTGAAACCTGTTTCACTACTTTTAAAATTATTTAAATATGGCCTTGTAGCTTTTGGAAAATCTCTTTTCGTCTCTTGAATTTTCTTGAATTCCAACATGCAGCTCTTACTGACCTGAAGTTGGCCATTTGGCATGTTGTTCTATAATTTACTGTTTCTTACATCAGGTATAACGGAAGCTTTTCACACAGGTAATTTAAAAATTTTCAAATGCTAAAAACACTTCAAAATATTCACATACAATTTATTTCTTTAAAAAAAGAAATAAAGTATAAAAATAGTTTATAGTAATATAAAAAATTATTATACAGCATGGACATACTGTATAATAAAATCTTTTTTGACACGAAAGTTTTAATTTTAAGTATTCCGAGCAAAATCTATAGTTAATTTTTTATTTAAATCTTGCTTTTGTTTCAAACGGACGGATATCTTGCAACGTAAGCTTTTAGCTTTACAATCTAATAACCATACAAAAAATCGCTATTGCTCAAATTACTCTAAAGTAATTTTCATTTTTAATTTATGCAAATAATGTTACGAGTTAACCGTTACCAATATCTAGAGCTTACTGTGTTTTACAGACCACGAATTCTGTAAGATTCTGTGAATAAGAAATTCTTTTTCTAAAAAATTTCTATCTATGAAAACTTTTTACCAGTCTGCATGGTAATGCTAGCTACTGAATCTAGTGAAATCAGGAACCTTTTTCTAAATTGGTAATAAAATTAATAAATTATTTTAGCAAATAATGTTCTATATAGATATTAATAACTACATTTACAAAAATGTAACTTCCATAGCATAAATTACGATTTTTTAGAATCAAAAATAATAATTAGAAAAAATGCAGAAATTACGCCAAAGAAAATAATAATTATAATATATATATAATATATATAAGCCCTTATTATATAATAATAATAAATAAGGGCTTATAAAGTTGTCTAAAGATTGATTATTTTAAAATTGCAAGTATATTATTAAATGTGATGCATGATTTTCTGATAATTTATAAAATACTCTTACCCAATGATCCACTTTTCTCATTGGCAAAACAGCAAAATGTATCTGTAAGTTAAACTCTAATTTTTGGCAAAACAAGTTATTTCCCCTACTTTCAGGATTGATATGTGTTTCCCATTCAGAGAAAAATTCAGTTCGCCTTCCATTGTCAAAATGCTGAAGTAATTCATTCTAGAAAAAGAAATACACATGTATACAACAGAATTAATTTTTAATGTGCGACATTAAAATTTCACCTCACGAGAGAAAGTAATTTTTCAGATATCCATCTAAAAGAAAATCAGTCAACCTTACGGATGCAAATGTATGATACATGCAAAATTTTCACTTTGAAATTATCAAAATATAATTTATTTATTTACGAATTAATACAACCATTAATACGACATACATTTACAGTAGAATCATCAATCATTCAAACTGCCAAAGTTTGGCAACCATGTTAAGCGTAAAAATTTTTTGGGCCATTGTGCAATGGAGTCCATAACAATTTTCCAGTTTTAATAAGCAATGTCTTTATCTTTTGCTTTCTTTTTCTTCTAATCTGAGTTCTAACTGTTTTTATTAATAAATCATGGTACTTTTCTGTCTTAAATTCAATTTTAAAATAAGCGTTTGTGAGATCTGTTTGGAAGGAAAGAAATTGAAACAAAACTTTTGCAGGAATGCAGTATTTAATAGCATTGATTCTATTAAAACAATCGGTACACAATTTTCACGCACACGCAAACACGCACACACACATACACACCAAAAAGAAAAGAAAAAAGAAAACTATTTGATATGAACTAAATCTTTACATAAACACTTGTAGGGTTTTTCTTATTCTGCATAACAAATTTCTTTTAAGTTTTCCTGTTCTCAACTTCCCCTCACATTCTCTCGTCAGGATATAAATTTAAAATTAAGCGAAGTGCTATTTAAACGTGTGATTATCTCAATTTATTCAGAGCGTGTTTCGCTAGCCAAGCGCACGTTTCGTTGTTATTGTTATTTCGCGGTCACGCTAGTAAGCCTCTTGGCCATATCAGTTTAGTATCACGCCGGTTAGATTTCTATGATTCCATTTCTTAGGAGTAATTTTGAAGTGCGTTCTTGCACTCGTTTATTTTTCAGAATTGGATTTGTATTATAGTCTACGTTTAGTTACCGTCGCAAGTGAACGGTGTTTTGTAACTCCCGAAGTCCGTGCTTTCTGTTAAATTAGTTTGATTTAATAAAGAGTTATTTTTAACCCTTCTTCTGTGATGGTATTTAATCACACCTGTGCGAGAATTCGCCAGGTTCATTGTAGGATCTAAGTTAGTGTATGTGGACAAGTAGAGATAGATCTTACACATTTTATGATTTCCAAATAACTCTGCGGAAAAAAAGGACAGTTCTATATCTCTCATTCTACTAGACCGATCGATGAAATTTAATTTACACTTTTTGTTTCTCAAAAGCGTGACTTAGGATATATATTAGATTTATACATAGCGTTGTTCTAATATAGGTATTTTGACACCAATCAAGACTTTTTCTGAAATGACATACCAATTTTTTTTCCAAATTTCGATTCTACATTCTAATTACGCCTAAATGTTAAATTTTTAAAATTTGGTTAGGAATTTTCCGAGAAATTTAAGAAGTTATCTTGGCGTACTTTCTTCAGTTTGAACCGAGAATAATTCACCCAATTCTTAATTTACGCTAACCTATTTTTCTTTCCATTTAACTGTGTACGAGCTGAAAAAAAAGTGCATCTTTGTATCTCTGAAATAGTTTTAACCAAAGCACGTAAACCATTTCTCCTGTTTCATTCATTTTTCATCTCTCCTGTTTCTAAATAACCTAATGTGTCTACAGTGAGTTTACATTGTTAAGCTTTTGTTCGCGAATACGCTTTACACTTTGCTCTACCATATTCTTTGGGTGTTAAAATTTTTTCTCTATTCTCTATTTTTTTTTAAACTTGGGCTATTTATAGCTTTTGATCTTGTGCATGAGCTGGGATTTATCTTAGGGAAGTTTCAAGTTCTTCCTGTTCACTTGGCTTAGGTATTTAAGGATATCTCTATGAAGTTTTAGCGGTAAGTTTTTCTTTTCAAAATATTTTTAGAATTATTTAAATATTTATCGCAATTCCGACCTCGACGCAATGGTTTCCCTCCCATCTGAAAAATTTGCGTCTTGTTCATTTTTAGATTATTCTTCCGAGCATTTCACCAACATTGTTAATAACCCCTAGGAAACTAATTTATCTACTTTTCAGTAACTGTGATAAGCTTTCACGGCATGAAACAATTAATTTCCCATATATTTTGTTGGATTATAGACTTAAAAGGAAATTTTAGAGCATATTCTCTTTAAAGTTATAAGAATATGCATGTTGCATAAAAATGTTAGTTTTTATTATATACTAAATAATCATAAAAATATGAAACATGACTCACTTTAATTTTTGAAATCCTCTCATCCTTCCTGTTCTTTCCAGCATGGTCCTGTATAGGCTTGCCAAGTTTTCGGCATTCCTCTTCAAATGTTGCAAGTGTTTTACTCAACTTAGAATATTCTAAAAACTAAAAACAAAATTTAAGAAAATCATCTAAAATCTAAAAACAAAATAAAAAATTCCTGTGTTACGATTTTGTACATATATTTTACGAAGGATACTTTTTGTTATGATGTAAAACACAAGATAATTGGTTATCTTTTGTTATACATCTGTGAATGCGAATTAAAATTGTTGATATATGTTCCATATATAATTTTATTAATATTCAGTAAATTATCTAATCCTTTACTCTGAAGAAAAATTAATCATATTAACTTTTGTTTTAATGCGAGATAAATGACAAAGAAATTCAGTTAATTACATCAGAAAACCAGAGCAGGACTGAATTTCTAAAATAAATGTGTAAGCTAGTCATTCAGAAATTAAAATAATAAAAAAACTGGTTTGTAAAAATTAAGTATAAAATATAAATACACTTTTAAGAGGGATGGTATATTATAATTTTCGAAATCCCATGAATATTGAAAAAAGTTCAAGATTCGAAAACTGAAATCTTTGAGCTTTTTTCGCCATTCGAATCTCTCTAATCTTAAGCTAAGAACTATCAACCGTTTTAACTCTAACTTTTGCAAAATTAGTATTAATGACATGTAGTAAAATCATTTGCTGTTTTCAAAAGAATTGTTTTGTAATTTATATATATATACATCATCAAATTCAAACCAGAAATAGTAAACCAGTTTCTTGCAAATCCGCATAATGTTTTAACTTTAACATCATCTAAGAAATATTGATAAGTTTTTCTTCGTTTTACTTTTAACTTTTTGAAGTTTTAATTATTATTACACATTTACATATAGAGTAGTATAATAAGTTTTTTACAGTGTATTATGCCTACGTAATAGTTTATTTAAAGCAGTTTAACCAAAATGGCAAACATTGTTTCTTGAAAAACTGAAAAGTCAAAAAATATCTTGTAGCATAATTTGGCCAGTATATTTTTATTTTTACTGTATGAAGACCTGATTTAACGGCTACTCAAAATGTTTTTCAAACTATGTTGAGAAAATGAATGTCAAGATTAAAGAGTTTTAATTAGGCACTTTATTTATATTTCTATATAAATATGAGGATATTTTTAAACGTGTATTTTAAATTAAAATGGGCATTCTGATTTTTTTAAATTAAAAGATTTTTAATATTAAATGCAGATTTCTTTATACTTATTATTATTTTTATATGAAGGATCAGAGAACATTTCTGAATCGGATTCATGAAAATTTTGGATTCATCCGCTTTTGTTTACAAAAAAAGAAGGGGAATTAAAGATAAATCATGATACTGAAACGATTACATTTTGCATCAGGTTTACGTTTATAACTTAAGAGCATATATATTAAAAGCATTTACTTTAAAACATACACTATTGTACTTAAAAAACTCTGTTTTTTTCATTATAAAATTTCTGAGAATATAAAATATGAAAGTTGATAGAAAATTCTTTAGATATTACTTTCAGGTGTGCCTTTAATTGTTTCATTGAGTCCAATAGTATTTTTGTTTCCAACTATCCTGGTGACTGTGTTCTAAATTTAAATGCATATACTTATTTATTTTTAGTTTGGGAATAATTTCTTCTTACCAAAAAGTCGCAGAATTGCTGTTTTTCTCTTAATTTTCAGTAACGTATGAGTAACATTTTTACAGATTTTAAAAAATGCGTACAATTTCGTATGATTTTTGAATGATTTGAATGTAAAATGATAAGGCATTGCAACTGATTAAAATGAAAACTCTAGTAATTAAAACTTATGCAAAATAATTCCCAGGATGTAAATGAGAACTGTGATAATTAATATGATTTTCATTTGAAATGAGGAAATACCGAAGACAGATTCCAAGCGTTGTTAATGAAATTAAGCCTTGAATGATAGTAATATTAACAATCATCTGATTATGTATATACTAAAGAAAAACTCTGATGCGTACAATTGTAAATCAGAATTAATTATACATGAATTTTTCCAGCTTTTCTTATACAAATTTAGATATATACTATTTAATCTTTTGAGAAAATGTTTTGAATAAAATAACTGAAGACCAGATAGAGCAAATATTGCCTTTATTTTATAAAACCTGCCATTAATCAATAGTTTTATTAAAATGTATTTCATACGCAAGCATATAAATCATTTCAAAATGCTTGACGCATTTTTAAAATGAAGTTTTGAGATACAAATTAGAGGGGAAATTTTATTAAAATTTTAAAAAAATTCAGTCACTTTATAAGAAATAATTTTTTTATTTAATGTTAAAATAATTTCAAAACAAAAATATACTTTAAATTTAAATTGATCATAAAATAGCTAATTATACATTACTTCAAATTTTGTATATGTTTGTAATTTTTATAGATACAAACGTAACAAAAACATAGTTGCTTAATTTTTTTTCATATTTAAGATTTTATTTTAAACAAAAAAACAGGAATTTACTGTCTATTAAGAAAAAAAGAATGCATATCTGTGTTTCAGCTACATTAATATTATACATACCTCTTTAATTATGGCATTTAATTCACCTTCTACAGAAGAAACAGATCCCGACATTTTCTATAAAAGGCAATATGTCACATCACTGTTCGGATTATACAACATTTGGTTCTGCAATATGAGGGCATTTTAACCCCAAAGAGTTCTCCAAATGTTAAACATTTTCAATAATTAAAACGTGTCATCTATATTCTATAGAACGCCATTGTAGGGCTACATATTTCGTCTGCTATCATAACGCAACCCTCATGCTTTATGTTTCTTTGCACCTTGTATCAGGTAGCCATGGAGACAAAACAACAGAAAAAGAGGGGGATGAGGATAGGCAGCTTGATTAATGGCGCTTGTGTCGGAGAAGGCGAACGAACTTCAAGTCAGAAAGTGAAAGTGATTCGAAAACATTATTATATGTTCTATTTCAATGCATGGAAAGAACTCGCTGATTACAAAAATTCTCTTTTAATCATAATGTAATCTTTTATTATGGAACATTTCATAATCCATAATGAAAAGAACCCGTATTATAGCGATAAATTTTGGCTCAAAAGCCCTTTTTATCATGGTTTTATTTAACCTGGTTTCACTGCTGACCTGTATAGATAAAATTTAAAATTAATATCTGATGCTCTTTAACCGATATAAGTTTCTCAAAATTTTTTACACGGGAGTATTTCTGATGATAATAGAATATTATACAGAAATTTTATTAAAATTTAAAAAAAGAAGCTTTATTTTTATGTAGTGTTGTTCACATAATCCTTCCTTTATAGTTAAAGTAATGATAAGAATTTCTATCCTTATAAGATCTGACAAATCAAAAAATAATGGGCCAAATGAAGATTTTATAACATTTTAGGGTAATTTATCAAATCATCTTAATTTTGTTTTAATGTTAAAAAATTATGTAAACATTTTTTAAGCTTACTCGATGTTTTTTAGTTAATGTCCAGCTGCTAATCAAATGATCTAATATTGTATTATTAGCAGCACAATGAGTTTACTTGAGATCAGTTTTGTAAATCGAACAATTTAATTGAATTCGGGGCTCTAGTGTAGAATTGGGTGCCCCTTCGGTTAGCGACATTTTTTAAAAAATTTTGGCGATGAAACCTCACTTCTCGTTACCATGATAGTTTTAACTTTATTTTAACTTCCTGATTTTATTTAAATGAAAATATATTGATGTGTACATGGACAAATTTAAGGCAGTGCGCAATGCCTAGTTTGTGCAATTCTAGGATGTTCTTTTAAGTGAAAACAGATCGATGTGTACATGGACACAGAGTTTGTGCAATTCTTTGACTTCTTAATTTGGTTTTCTGTAGTGGCCATCTTGAAGTTGTGCCTTCCTGGCGCCAATCTTGGCGTCAAAAAAGAATCGCCAAGAAACAAGGGGCACCCAATTGTAAACTTTTACCGAATTCGGTGCAATCTTACATCAAATAGACTGGAAAATCTTGGAAAACGATAAGGTTAAGCAGGTCTAGTTGTATCATTTTTGGAGCCCTAGGCGAACAGTACATTTGGCATCTTCTAGAAATTAATTCTATTAATACTTCAAACCATAACATGCTTTTATTTAATTAATTAAATGTACAACCTTTTTAAAGTTTACAATCTGTTTACAAATGCAACTTAAATAAATCTAGATGCATTTCGTAAGGCGTATGATTTTTTTATAGATAAAAATGCAAGGAAATTCAACTCTTCTGAAAACATGACCTGAAATAAATTTTGATCTATTACAGCTTAGAAAAATTGCTTTCCGCTGCAGCTGCTGATACCTAAACTGTCAAAACATTTCATACCACAACCCATAGGCTAAGATTGTAAACAGTACATAGGAATATAGGAAACAACTTGTTTTGGAATTTTTGCTACTTTGAAAATGAGATTCTGTAAGTATACAATTCTATAGTCATCTCTTGAGAATTATCATCAGACTGATGGCTACTTACTCTACCTTCAATTAAAGCACGCTGTAGATTTTCGTAATTTCTCACTAATCAAGGCATATCGAAATTTTTAAGACCATAAATCAATGAGTAATGTACTTTCACTATGTTGAACAGCTCTAATCATTGCTGAGCTGGAACGGCTTTTACGGATGCACTGAAGAGTTATCGAAATGTTTATAGAATCATTTACGTGTTTACTTTCTTTCTTTAATAGTGCATGTTTAATATCTATCGTTTCTGATGAATATGAAAGCTCAAACGGTTTTTAAATCCACTATTCCTATAAAAAGTCAAACATCCACGTCTTTTGGAATTCAGACTAAGATTTCACACGAGGAATTCAGAATTTTTAAGAATTCAGACTAAGATTTTCATTAACCACAGAAACCGTGGGCGAGATTTTTGAACACGATTAACTTTGGAGCGCCTTATGCAGCTACCTATATCACCTATGCTTGGAACCAGGCCCGATGTCACCCCTACTCCTTTGCTACTCTGACTAGAAGGATTTTAATTTCCATAATTCCTTTAATTGTTTTTCTTTCTTATTATTTTGCTATTGGCACGATTTAATTTGAACTTACCTTATTACTGTTTAGTCACCGATGGCTTTCTGTTCAAATAATTTACGTTTGAACATTATTATTATTTAATAATATTCAAATAATTTACGTACGTAGCTGCAAGTTGATTTTTTTCTTCTCCTATATTTAATATACCTTTAAAGTTAACATACAAAATTTCGAAATTTTTAATTGGGTTTTATTGGGGGTAGGGCTTAAACAGCCCAACAGCCAGATGTCGAAAGCCGTTTCGATCATTGAAGGCAAAGAATAAGTCGCCTGCGTTCTTTTGATGGTCTCGTTTTTGCCTCCCGTAAACAAAGGTTTGGTGCATTTGTCTTCTCTATAGTTTTCCCAGAATGCGTACTACACCCGCAAATAGGTTAATCTGTTTTTTTGTTTTGGAACTGCTTCTTTATCGAGATTTATTGCTATTTCACAATATGGCGAATGACCACAACGAACGAGGTGATCAATATACATTTGTTTCAGTAAGCTTTCAATAAACGTTTGTTTCATCAATGTTGTGGATACGATCAATATACATACGGAAGGGTACGATCAATACAGGTTTGTTTAATTTTGGTTAAACAGAAACCGCGGGTAAATTAAACTAAAAGGCTGAAGGCAAACGCTGAGGGAATAATTCTAACATTAAGTTATCGAGAACATTTAAGGAATCTGATCATCTTTTCATGTTCCTAAGTAAATCGTAAGGTTTCTCGAGAGCCATCAGATCCTCTCCAGGTGATAAATGTCAGAGATCTCTTGCTGGAAAGAATTCCCTTCAATCGGTTTATTAATTCAGCTTTGAATTTTGTATAACGGGCAGTAAGGTTTGATTTCATAAGTAAATCTCCGAACTATTGACGCTGCATCTGGTGGAAGAGGAGAAACTACATAATTATATTTGGTAATTGATTATGTGATAGATTTGGAGGTGGCAACAGCAAACATGCTGTCACACATAATAAACCGTAAGGCTGGATTTGATCAATTGTAAACCGAAGTTTGAACGACATGTGTGTCAGATATTGTGCAAGGTTTATTCGAAAATAAAAATAACAATTCATCTAAATAAAATGAAATATTGTTACGAATTTCATGTAAATGTAAATAATTTTAATTAAATTACTTGTAAGTATCTCTTGCATAATGTAACATGAAAGCCTGAAAAGAGTGACGCTTTGCCGAAAAAGTAAGACTACAGGGGCAAATACATTTAACATTGAGATATATGGCTATTTTCCTAAATTGCCGAAAAGGTGCCAACTTGGCTATGATGAGAATTCGCCAGAAGTCTTCAATGGTATATTATATGGCGACATTTTAACCCGATCTCTGTATAACTGTAACTTGTCCTTCCATATGTAACTGTAACTGTATCCTGCCCTATGTAACTGTATATATGCCTTCCAGCAATTTCGAGAAATCGGAGGTACTAAAAATTTCGCCAATTTCGGAGACAGCAATTTTTTGAATTAGTAACTCTGTGATGAGCAATCCGCGTATTGTTGTGAAAAGCTCCAGAACTGTAAAGTGTTGCTTTTGAAAAGGTCAATTTTATCAAGCTATCATCGGTTTTGTGCTTATTCAGGTCATTACGAACCTGTACGCCCATAACAAAATGAAGGATAAAAGAAAACAAAACCATAATATAATCTATCATTATGACTTATTTGTAATCCTGAGGATGAAAGCCAGTGGAATCCATAACTTCTGGTTTTGAAATCCCAAGAGGATTTGCGACTTAAAAATTTTCACAAAAGCTGATTTAGCGTTGTCCAGAGGTCACCATTCTAGTCATATGTCAATTATATTTTCATAGCTTTCATCGAGGACTTCAATCTGACTTCATCTAAAAGTTGATCTTTGATTAAGACGAAATGAGTTTATATACACATATATGACTTTTTTCAATATTATGCACCAGTGTTATCATTTCTTATAAATAAAACCCAAATTTATCTGATGTTTCTTATGAAGTTTAGAACTAAAAAAAGTGCTCCTCAATGAGAAAAGTTTGAGAAACACTGGTTAAGTTATCATTTAAAGAGAAGCTTAAAATATTAATATCAAAAGATTAGGAGAATTAATGAAGATACACCAGAGTTCACTTTCATAGAGTTTTTCTGATGTACGTATAACATGCATCCTATACTTAACGGTTTCTGTGACTGCAACTAAGGCTGAATTATAATTCTCAAAATAGAAATTAATAAAAAAGCTCTTTGCGAAGTATTTGACAAGATAGGCTAGCCGGTTTAGCTTTGCTCTTAGTTGAGAATAACTGGGCCCAAAAAATTAACCAATATAAAATAATTAGTAAGTCTGACAGAGATTACATAAAACAGAGATTTTTATAATCTCAGTGTAAGAATAAAGTATATTGAATAATTTGTTAAGAAATATTTCATTTTATTCATATTGCATATGTTTCACATTACACTTTGTTTGACATCAAATAGCTTCGGATATCATATTTTTTTTCCTTAATAGGGTTAAACATGAATAAAAATTGATATATAACAGCACAAATCAACAAGATATGGAATTAAACGTGAATTAAAATTGACATATAATAGCACACATCAACAAGGCATTTATCGAAAGCATTTCCATTCGATTAGAGTGTATAAAGATATTTTAATTATAATTACAGACCTCCAGCTCTGTTAGCTTTAGCTCAACTGATCTGTTAATTTTCTTTTTGAAAGTGTGGAATCCTATGCATTCTTTTCCCCCAATTCTTTTAAAGCTCACTGATAAGTACCAAAGAAACGTTTTCAATAAAACACTGAAAATTTTGAAAAATAAACAGTACACAAGATAGTGCATAATGTTAAAGATAGATGTGAATAAGAAACTGAAAATTTACAAATCTAACTCTGTTTGGAGGTTTCAGAAAATTTTAAAAATTTCGCCAGAAAACTGAAAAATTATCAAATTCGTCAGAAAGTTCAGCATTGACAATCAAATGTGCCCCATTTAGCATTTAAAAAATGCTCTTCAGAATATTAGCAGCTGATCTTTTTACTATTACGTGAAAGATAACTATTACGTGTACGTATCTTTTACTATTACGTGTGTAAAATCCTTTTAATATTACGTACATACATCGCAATGAGTTCATTCATATATATTTTTCTGAGAAAACTGAGAAATCAAGGGTGGAAGACCTTTGCTTTTTAGTACCATACGTTGCTAGAATTTCAGTCTGACCTTACACTGAGAGGGCAGACTCTTTACCTTTGTCTCTATGAAGTGTGTATATACTAATAATTGTATAAAGTGTATTAGTGAAGTGTGTATACACTAATAATTGTATTGTTATTGTACACTAATAATTCTAGCTTTACCTTTGTTTCTATGAAGTGTGTATACACTAATAATTGTATTAAGTGAACTAAGCGAAGTGTGTATATACTAATAATTGTTATTGTAATATTCTACACTAATAATTCTATCTTTGTTTCTATGAAGTGTGTATACACTAATAATTGTATTAAGATTGCAAGCAGTCGGCTTTTGTTTCAAAATTTTAGTTTGATGAATAGACTATGAAGCTATAAGTTAACTGAGAACTGACATCGCCAGCAACACTACAACAATCCACTGGTTGTACACAACATGAACTGCAAAGGCTATACAAAGGAAGAGGCAAGCGTCTCATTCCCTCAGGTTTGCAATTAGCAGCACCAAATAAACTATGGAAAATTATACATTTATTTAAAGAAAACTTTAATTGAAACATAATTATTAATTAACATTATTTAAATAAATTATTTAACATTATTTGATATTATTTAACATTATTTGAAACATTACATTAACTGTTATCAGTATTCTTATCTATTTTTCCTATATAAAGATATATTACCTATTATCAGTGACTTTATCTATTTTCCCTGTATAAATTTATATTAATTGTTATCAGTCTCTTTATCTTTTTTTCTGCATAAAGTTATATTAACTTCTGTCAGTCTCTTTATCTATTTTTTTCTGTATAAAGTCATATTAACTATTCTGTTTTTTCTGCATAAAGTTACATTAATTATTATCAGTCTCTTTATCCATCTTTCTTGCATAATGTTATATTAACTGAGATCAATCTCTTTATCTATTTTTCCTGTATCAAGATATATTAATCATTATCAGTCTCTTTATCTATTTTTCCTGTATAAAATTATATTAAGTATTACCCGTCCCTTTATCTATTTTTTCTGCATAAGGTTACATTAATTTTTATTAGTATATTTATCTAGTTTTCTGATATAAAGTTATATTAACTATTCTTTTTTTCTTATTATTTCTAAGTTATATGAACTATTCGTTTTTTTCTTATTTAAAGTTATACTAACTATTCTGTTTTTACTGCATACAGTTATATTAACTATTGTCTGTTTCCTTATCTATTTTTCTTGTTTAAAGTTATATATACAGTTATCAGTCTCTTTATCTATTTTTTCTGTATAAAATTATATTAACTATTATCAGTCTCTTTATCTATTTTTCTTGTATAAAGTTATACTAACTAGCCGCCCACACTGTATAGTGGTTAGGGAAGCCTGACTGTAATACCGAATGGTCCAAGTTCGAATCTCGGGGAAGGCATTTGGATGTAAAAATTGTCTGTCTCTTCATAGGAGGTAACGGTGGCCGCCTATTAGGTGCCTCCACAATAAAATGGCCACCACTTCCGGCTTTACTAGTGGCCAATGCCGTTATAGGCAAGTGCCCGACATTTGGAGGGAAAAAAGTTATACTAACTATACAAAGTTTGCCTTGATTCATTCCTCGTTATAATATTCACATTGGAGCAAAATATATATTATAAGTTTTTGTTCTGTTATACGCATATTTAATTTTCATCAGAAGTATTTCTGATTATTCCTGGAATATTTACTGTTGGTACTAGACTAATTAAACGAATTCATTTATTACTTTAATTTTTTATTAAGCCTGGAATGTGAAAAGACGTATGTTTTCTTTTTGGAGCTATTATTGTAATGTATAAGAAAAATTAATGATTTATTATCAAAGAAACAAAAATGTTTAAAATTTCGAATTTTCTTATGGAAGAATCAGAACAAACTATTCTATTATGTAGTAAATAAATGCTATTTTATTAAAGTAACTATAATACGAAGTAAAAAAAATCTTAAATAAAAAAAAATTTAAAAGAAGCTTTTCTTTATTAAAATTTTTATTAAAATAGAAATTAAGTTACAGAAATAGTCAGTAATGACTAAAATTCTTGAAACAACACAAATTAAATGTAATGAAAGATTTATTTGCTCGCCATTGATAAAGTGGATATGTTTGCTGGTAGTTCAACTGACATCCAAATCATAGCAAACGGATTAACGATTTTAAGTATTTAATATTTAAACAGAGATAGAATCAGTATTTCATACTTATATAATTTTTGGATAGTTATATTATGGCTTAATGCATTCTATTAATGGATTAGGTTTATATGAGACATCAAATGATAAATCATCCCATTACAAGGGGCTGAAAATAATATCATGAAACACATTAATGAAAAGTTAAATAAGAGTTATGAAAGGGGAAATAAAGGTTTGAAATCAAAAATTATAACTGTGAAGCTACGATTTTAACGAATGATTAATCTTGATCTAGCCTTTCAAGTAATTTTAAATTAGCTAGAATCTTACATTTACAGTCTGGATAGAAAGCGTGGGTTGAAAACGAGTGTTTGTAGGAAAGGTTGCTTCCGAAATAAAATAAATGTACTATTCATAAAATTAAATAAAACCCCACACTATAATAATTATTCCGTTCATTGTAGTATTCTGGGATTGTAGTAGGAGCTAGGACCAAAATTGGTCTGCCATACTTGAAGCACTCTAGGCTAGTTTGAATCAACTGCAGTTTAATCTTTTATCTGTAATAGGATTAATAATAGGTCGTTAAATTTACTTTAAAAATTTTAATGCACTACATTAAAACTCAGATGTAACATAATCATTTGGTTATATTGAAAATATAAAGCTGTGAACTTTTTCCAAAACTTATTTTTTAAGAAAGGAATTAGAAAGCCTTAAAAAATGTTTCAAAATTGAGTTTCAAATACGAAGATTTTTACTTGCAAATATCAGAGATTTGATTGAACGATGACTGATAAATATATAATAAAAACGTATTGGTTTCAAGGGTGGCAGGCTTTGTTGACTTCAAGACAATTTAAGGACTCTCAGATATTCTCGTGGTACTAAAACCTTTCTCACTTGAGCCAAATGTAAAAACCATGAAGCTACTGCGAGACGTCTATTTAGTTGTGTTGCCTTGGTGCGTGAAAACCTGCTGAGGATACCTAATTTTGTGACGGAAGTTATGATGGCGACTGAACTGTGGATCTGATCTGATTCAGATCAGAGGAGTTAGTAAGAAGAAGATAATCAAAAAGTGAATGGTATTCTAAGTTCTATATGGAATATTTATCATTCTTCTGTGACTTTTTATAAAGATTATTTACAGAAAACAGACAGTAAAAATAAGGATGATTGACATAATAATGAAAATAATGGAATCATCTTTCGTATCGTCTAGTCTCTTGGAACGAAACGTAATTTCTGTGGTTTGCACTGATAGGTAATTCCTAGGTTTCCACTTAAATCCGGTAGTTTTCCATCGAATTCTGGCAACAGTTGGAAGTTTTGCATGATCGTCACAAAGTAGTGCAAAATTTCAATCATAGCAACCTGTTCCCCAGGGCAGTTACGTCTACCTATAAATGAGCACAAAACAAAAGTTTTGGAGTTCAAATAGCTTAAAAATAAAATTGCAATCTATTCTAATATTGGATACAGTATACAATAAATATACATAAATTACAAAATTTCAAAGTGAAAGAATTTGGAAAATTTTGATGAATAATCTTAGCATTTTTTCCTTATCTATTTTACACAATGTATACGGAATAAAAATCTGGAATCTTGTAAATTGAAACTAATAAAAACCTAGAATAAGCGAATCATAAAAAAATATGACTAATAATAATTAGAATTAAAGAGGCCATGCTATGTGTAATGGCACGACAGCTTTAAAATGTCTCTTAATCGGAGTAAGAAGTTTTGTTCTATCTCTTATTCAGAGCAAGAGGTTTTTATTTTGTCTGTTGCGTAAAGTAAGAAGTTGACGAAATGGAAAAAAGAGAAGAATGGCTGGAAAAAACAATTTTTTGGAAGGCTTTGACATTAGCTGTACTTGAAACACTAAACCTTTCGTAGATGATGCATAACAGTTCTATTTTGCCCCATAAGAGATCACTGTATGTAACAGTCAAGCAAACATATAAGGAGATCCGTACTTGCAAGCGTAAGGTGCCAGGACCGTACTATCTGTGGTAATCCCGTAACTTGACGATTCTCCTTATCCTTAACATTTACCTTTGTTTATCCTTATTTGATACTGTTGCGATAGGAATAAAGCAGCGCGGCAGAGTATTAGTAGCAACAAAAGCAGAAGCAAATATATATATATATATATACAATTGTCTATATTTATACAGTATATATTTATATAGTTGTGTAGTAGTCAGATATGTATATAATGTATGTTATATATTTTACTATATTAATATACTTGAATTATATACTTATACTATATATTATACTTGATATATATAATCAAGTATATATATATATATATGTGCGTGTATGTGTGAAGATAAAGATCATTAATATATAGTATAAATATATTATAACATACAGTTATATACATATCTGACTACTAGACGTTATGAGTGTATTGTGACGTCACTCTTATCAACAACTCGCGCTGCTTGGCTATAGTTTCATAGTTTACGGGAAAATACTCAAGTACCGATCATTAATCGCGATCACCGGAGATTGTCACATGATGACCTGGTAACAATAAAATAGTTGTAGAAAAATCAATAACAGATTACATATTTTAATTTTAGAATCAATGCTATACATATACGGGCTAGGTTGCTTCTGAAAATACCAGTGCGAATGCCTAAGGGGTAGGGTTACAATGGACTAAGCTTCAATAAAATCGGTTTGTAAAAGAACGGAAACGAGTCTTTAAGTCTGCTGATTCTCAATTCTGCTTTTACAGTAATGATGCCAAATGTATAGTGCAAATTTTCAATCAAGACTGTGTTCAACGAAGTGTGGTGTTAAAATAATGACTGTGTTGAAAGTCAGTCCTTCATGTTGCGAGACTATCTCATGAGTTTTAAACTAGGCTTCCTTGTCACCGTTGACGCGTGTGCTTGAACCATCAAAAGCATATTCAGATTTTGTGTGAAGAAGTACTGCTTTTTGTTTGTTATCTTTTAAATAACCCAATTAAGGAAAAAACAGTTTTAAAAGATGATATCTGCAAAATGTATCAGGCCTAAATTGTCACCAGCTAACTCCGTAAGGATTCCAAGAAAGAGACACTCCGAGTAACATTGTTCGCCAGCAAAGTTTCCGACTTGTTCCTGCCGAAAATCCATGGGATCACCTAGAACGAAAGTCAAGAGAAGCCAAAGTCATTCTAGAAATTTTATCGAAATTTGGGACCGACTGATGGAGGAATGGCTTCAATATTAACATCATCCACAGATTTGAATAGTTTATACCATGGCGAATTGCTGCTGTCACTAGAATCGAAGAAAGGTCAGTTAAATGCTAATTGTCATTTGGTACAGGGTCTTAGACAAATGTTACATAACATTTCTAATAATGACACGTTTACCTGATCGAATATGTGACTTAAGTTGTAAAAGTTCGCAAAATACATTGCTAGATATGAAAACTGCAACCCTAACAAGAATAGAAGACAACACAATTTAATTTTTGACAATTGTATAATACAGAAATGAAATCTCTAAAATTAATACAGAAATGAAATCTCTAAAATTTTATATCTAAATTTCTATGATCTAAATGTCTATCAATTCTAATCTCTAATATTCTGTGATTATTTCCAAATGGGCTGAACAAAATCAACAATTAATACCTGATGCCATACACTGAGACACATAATCGGACAAACTTGATATTTTGAGATAGTGCAGCCTAGGAAGTTGTAATTCATACCCATATGTTGAAACCCTGATGATCATTATCCTGCAGATTAGTTTGAATGGAAATCTAGGATATTGCTGGGTAGGATATTTCAATTCATTACCAGCGATCATCACTGTGGTAAGAGGTCCCTATCATGCCAGTGTGCATGACGTCACGGTCGTTTTTATTCAGCGAATTATCTAGTGAATGCGTTGGCCACATTAGAACCATAACCTGTGGTGTGTCGAGGAAGTAACCGATGATGAATGTTAAGTATGTTTAAAAACTGTCCTTTTGAAGGTTTCTCTAGAATGTACTTGAAGATATACGGCATGCACAGATGTCTTTTAACATATTTGTAATGTATTGCTGATTGATCAGAGTATTAGATATGCGTACCAGATGCAAACGGTGTTCATATCTAGTTTGTGGGTTTGAGCAAGATTCCAAAGAAGACGCTTTTCTTGATAGTCCCGTGCACGCACACCTTCATCAAGATGTTGCATGCAGAAGCCCAATTCGTCTGAAAAACAAGGTTGCTCAACTCGTACGTCTACATGCGTCGTTTGAAATACCGCTGCAATCGCAGATGCTGTGCCGTATTAAGCAACCACATTCGGGAAAACAGCCCTTCATCCTCCAAAAAAAGTTATAACCTAATGCGCGAATACTTCTTATTATGCCATTTACCTCATTTTTGTCTTAAGGTGCGTGATGAGGTTGCACGATCCGTGAGGGCTTTTCACATAAGATGCCCGTTTCACATAAGATGCCCTGGAGGGCCGAAATCATTGTGAGTTTACATGTCCCGTCTCCCGCTCTTCGTGGACCTCTCTACTTCGTATTCGCACGGCAGTGAATCGAATTTCGACGCATGCGAACAGTAGTTTAATGATATGATAAACTAAAATAATACTCTATTACTTTCCAGCTATCATTTCTAAGCACAAACTGCATACGTTCCGTCTACTTATTCTTGGTATACTCTACACTTCCAACTAAAAACCAGAAAGAAACACGAATCCTATAGGAACATTCATTTTCTGTTTTGCTTTACACTAATTCTAGGTGGTGTTACAAGCGCTTATAATTTACAAATGCGCTACATTGATAATCACTTTTATGTCCTAATTTGTTTTAACTATTACGCAAATTTTACGTTGATCGAATGCTTCCTTCATGATATTATATTTTTAATGGTCATCAGTATATGAATGCTAATACCCAAGTAATTGAGCAATAACAAAGATACTTCCTTGAGAGGTACTACAACTATATAATAGCACTTACAACAATTCCAAGCAAATTAGCTAAAGTACCAGAAAACTGAGTCACGTAACTCCCTACCCAGACTAAGCCAGACAATTTCAATTACAGCAATTGAAAATCAACATTACAAAAAATAGCTCCCCCCGTAGAATAGTAACTGGATTCTAAGAGCACAAACTATTCCAATGTAAGCTTAATGCTATGCATTTTGTATGCACTTATTAACAATAATGTTGTAAAACAGTTAAAATAACAAAGAAACTTTAGTCAATGTGTTACTGAATTACAAGTTTACTGTGATTATCTCAGTAACAGTATTGTAAGTATGAAATTAGATAATGTTTAAATGTACACATAATCGACATGAATATATCTAAGTATCTCACATAACTGTGTACAAGACAATGCTTGTAATTAACGTATCCATGCTTATACACAGGCCTTCTATGTCCATGTAATATTTATATATGGAAGAAATATTCCCTTCTACTATGACTATTAATAATGTAAGAGTTTTACAACAAAGTCGGTGGTTATTCCAGGCGACGCTGAATGTATGAATGTATGGTGTTGGGTTATAACTCAAAATTATAGAACTGGCAATCGAAAAGCAAGAGCTAAAACGTAGGAAACGTTTGCATATTATTAATCATCGAAACTTTCTTCTAGATTCTACAAACCAGAAAAAATTTCATTACACGTGTTTTGATACACAACTAGACTTACCAATGGAGAATGGAATAAATCCATCAGGTTTAATCGTCGTTAATTTCCCATCTTCTTCAACAAGGAATCTCTCTGGAAGGAACTTCTCAGGATCTTTCCAGTATTCAGGATCATTATGAACCTCCCATAAATTAGAAACGACCACAGATCCCTTCGGAATATCATATCCACTAACGACGACATCTGCATTTGCACTATTAGGATAAAATCATGATGTATTTACTATAGTCACTAGCTATTAAAATATCTTATACTTTGCTATGAGAGAAATAAAGATGTTACCTTTAGCAAAACACCCGATTCTACCACAAAAAAATTATTTTTGTACTATTATTTTGCCATTATTTTCTAAAAATTAAAAATATTAAGAAAATTATTTTTTATTGTTTTTTTTTGCGAATTTCTGTATTAAAAGCTTGTATTTAGAATGCAAATCCGTGTTTGGTAATCGCAGTAAAATAAAGTGGTGGTATTAATAAATGAATATAAAAATTAAATCGATAGAAAGCAAATTATACTTATTTATGCAATTATAAGCAATGTGACTTGAAAACTATCAGTTTTGATGAGCCTTTACGCTTAGAAAAGCTTTAGAAACACTACCATCTGAAGGTTAAGCGAAATTTAGTGTACATTTGAATAATTTTAGCGTTATATTTATATTTAATTCCTGCCTAGTTTCTCCAAAAATCATTAGCGTTAGCTAAAGAACATACACTGAAACTGTAAATGATGAAAACTGCAATTATTACCTTCACCCGTTTGGGAATACTACTAACACAGCCATAATACCTTCATATATAGATATATATCGTTCTGTATAAAATATGACTAGTATTTTGTGCGTTTCTGAAATCTAACTAAATTCCACACATCATCCAATGAGAGTTTAAATAACACCAAAACACACAGACTAGTAGTTCTCAAATGTGCCCCGCCGCGCCATAGTGCAACACCGTCTCGAAGAATAAGGCCCGAGTACGAGCGGCTGACTGACATGGACCTTATAAGATTCATGCTGACTGGTCAGTGACGTCACGAGTAAAAGACCGAAGCGAAACAGCAGTAATAAGCTTCTCCCACAATCATCTAGAGATTAATCTATAATTTGTCAGTTTTTAATTTTTCTCGCTTTCTAAATCCGGATTCTGTCTTGCCTTCAGAGACTAATTTTGAATTAAAATTTTCGATCTGTGGAAAGTTGTGTAAATTATTTCCCTCCAAATCCCCAGACAATTTCTTCTCAAGCAGTGTGTAAGCAATTAAAGTAAAATATAAAAATAAATGCTAAATAATAATAAATTAATAATAAGTATATTTGTAGGTTAAATAGTAATAAATAATGATAAATATACCAAGAAGATTAAAGAACAACGAAACAGAAAGTGAGAAAATTACTGATGTTCAGCCAAGATACTACAAAAAACTAGACTGAAAGAACAGTAAATAGCTTGAACAGCTTTTAATTTGCCCTTATGACGTATTTTCATTCATATATTTCGGGGAAAGAATTTTATCTCGAAAACATAAAATCAAACACTAGCATTTTGAAATTTAGTAAATGCAAAGAAGTTTGAACAGTAAGCATGTCAAAAGTCGGTTGTAAATTTGGATTTTTAACTGAAGATGTTCCATAAAATTCTTCTAGGAGTTAATGAAGTTACCATTTTAACTGAAAGCAAAAATAAACTGAAATTAGCACTACAAAGGATTTGTACACGTAAATCTGAAAAAATAAAATTTGAAGACAAGCATAAGCCACAAAACATATTCTTAATCGCTTGTACATTTTATTTTTTGCAGTTTTTTTACTGCTTGTGCAACTTTAAAATTGCTAAATTTTTGCAAGATTTTCTTTCTCGAATTTTGTTTTTTACCTATAGTGATTGTTATGTATATATTTCCGATTCTGTGTGTAGGAAATGATAAAAAATCTCTTAACATTATAAATATCTTCCAGTTACTATATCTGCATTATAAAGGAGCAAAATACTGCAGATATTTTTATAGAATTTGCTATAACAATCATATACGATGACAATAAGGGCCAGAAAGGACATTGTTTAACGACACGTCTTTTGATTCCTCTTGCTAACCTTCCGATGACTTTTCATAATCATTTTATTTGATCCAACAATTATTTTAAAAATATTTAATTAGTTTTTGTAATAACTGAAAAAATTGTTTAGTTTATTAGCTCAAAGGGGCGTTAGATCCAAAGGGCTATTAGTCTCAAAACGGCATTTTGCGTTGTTTCACTTTCTGCGTTGATTCACTTTTTATACTTGCCGATTTCTGAACGCACGGAGATTTCAGGAGACTTCTCTGTGAAAGGGTTGGGACTTCGTTACATTTGTAATAATTCCTGTTTATGTTTGATATTACTTTGGGACAATTATTCTTTTGTTTTACTAAGAGTTAGATTAAAGTTAAAATCTAGGCTATTCTTCTTGGCTTGTCATGATATTCGCTTATACCAGAAGTTCATGCAAACTGAATGGCAGGTGGCATAGTTTAAAATTAGAATGTTAATCTTTACCGTTAGCCTAGAGGACATCCATCCTCTTCCTACCACATTGTCTGTGAAAGTTCGAATGCAATAATTGCAAGAAAGGTACCAAGAAATTTAGGCGCACTTGGGTAAGTTATTTAAGAAGTTAGATATCCATTTCAAATCTAGGTACTTTTTATTTTGTACACGTTTTTGTACGAGAGGAGGTCGTTTTCATTCCTTGCACGAAGTAAAGGAAGTATTAAATTCGCAAACAATTTCGGGTATAATAGTTCAGCGGAAATAATCATTTTGACCGTTCTCGAATCCATTTGAAAGATTCCTTTGCATACAGAATAAAGGACACTTATCTAAAACCGATTGCAAAATGGATTCGGATGAGTTTTTTTTTTTTCGTGATATCTGTACGAATGTATGTAGTATGGTATGTATCTTGCATAAATCATAAACGATTAGTCGTAAAATGTTAAAATTTTGTGTAGGGGCTTTCTATAACATCTAGTTGAGCATCTCCCTTTTTACTTCCTTGTACGAAGTAAAAAGGAACTATTGTAATCGCGAAAAGCTTCAGGCATCATATTTCAACGAAAATATCCATCTTGATCGCTATCAAATGCAATTTAGTGATATTATCCGTACATAAGGACAGAATAAAGGACTGTTTTATCCCAAAAAATTATAAAACTGATTTAAAATGAATTCCGAAGAGAAATTTTCGTGGCGTCTGTGCGTACGTACGTATCTCGCACAACTCAAAAACGAGTAGCCTCAGAACGTTGAAAGTTTGTATATAGGGACTGCTATAATATGTAGATGTGCATCTCGTATTCTGGTTGCAATCGGCCGCGCCAAAAGTATATAAATATATGTGTATATATATTCACTCTGTTACTCGGCTCAGTAATCTCAGTTTCTTTATTCTTATATGTTTGTAAATTAAGCATTTTTTGCTTTAAAAATGATTGAATTATGTTGTTCTTATCTTCCGGTTAAGGTTTTGATGCCTTTAGTAAATCTGGATGCAATATTTTTAGAATTATCAACAATTTAAAAGTTGTTTAAGTACGGTTAAGCCTAATTATTTTTGCCATGACGGTCATTGCTTGTTTACATTTGAAACCGCAGAATAATAAATTTATTGTCAATCTAGAGAAGGTAAGCATCGCAATAACAAAGATAACGTCTTCTTTTATTATTGCGAATTAAATCATGCTGAATCCATTCTGGAATTATTCAAGAAATATGTTTAAGTTTATTTCATAATTTTCAATAAGATATTTGCGTTTTTATGTATTTTGCCTTGTCGCGAAGAGAAAATGAATTAATGAATAGAAATACTGATCGTCTGTGAAAAATTGTTCTTTTTGTTGTTGCTTAATTCTTATATGGTTTTAGAGTTATTATAGTATTTGAATAGAGCATGTGGCAACGATTAGGTTAGTGTTTAGTTTAGTGACGGAGGACGTGGGCACCATCCCTTTACCGTTATGGTTAATTGGTAATAGCACCACGTCCACCCTTATCTAGAGACTAGTGGGACTACAGGTCATACTTTACAGCACTTACGATATCGTACAATATAAATAAACCATACAATTTCCTACATATGCATGATACAGTATATAATCAAACAGGATTATTAAAGCATAATGCTGGTGCGTATACAGTTAAAATGCAAAAGTTAAGATGTAAAATACTAAGTATCGATTTAAGTTATATGACTAAATAATATTATATTATTCATCCATAAAAACCTTAAAAAAAATTTTAAAAAAGTAAAGAAAGAAAATTAAAAAAAAAAAAAATACAATATCCTACATATGCATGATACAGTATATAATCAAACAGGATTATTAAAACATAATGCTGGTGCGTGTACAGTTAAAATGCAAAAGGTTAAAATGCAAAAATACTAAGTATCAATTAATTATATGATTAAATATTATTATATTATTCATACATAAAAACATTCAAAAAAATAAATAAATAAAAAATAAATAAATAAATAAATAAATAAAATAAGTAAATAAATAATGCGCTGTATATATATATACATAGAATATGCCATACAAAATAATACACATAATTAGGAGCAGAATGTGGAATATAGGATCATACAAATACAGGATCAAGTCGTGAGGATCATTGAAAAGTACATACTTAATGTGCTTCACAAATTCAGCCATAAGTATCATTCATACAAATGTAAGCATTCTGGAACAACAAAAACCAATAATGGTGTACCCTCATATTTGCTACAATACACTACACTGGTACAGTAATTTCTTATGAAATATTTTACTTTTACATTTCAGAGACACAAAATTTGATAGAATTTGTACTGAGTGACTATTTGAAAGGGTACGTTAAGACTGTGGTAACTAATAAGCAAAGTAAACATATTGTTTTTCATAGGGGGTGCATAAGATACAGTACAATGATCATTTCATTAGATCAGTCCGTTATAAGAATATCACTAAAATTTATAAATGTAGCATTAAACCAGAGTTTACCACGAAGATTATGTACTTTGCATCAATGCATTATGCCTATGAATGCTACACCTGGCACAGGTCTATTCCAAGACCTTTAACCTTTTCCATAACCTTGTTAATTTTATTAATCAAGTGCCTCTGCTTGATTAGAAATTTGCAAAAGGCTTGACGATTTTGCGAAGGGAATCTGATATGTAAGCCTTCTGTAAGAGGGCATTTTTCTCAAGGTAATGCTCCGGAGAGCCTAACTCTCCGCAGGTGCAAAAACTGGAATCGCTTATTTTAAATCTCTCAAAATAAAGAGGAAAAGGGCCATGCCCTGAAATATAACGTGTCAGATGGGGATTTCCACAGCATCTATCTTGTGTAACGTAAGAAATATGGTAATAAGTACGACGACCAGTGGTACTATAATCCCATTCTTCTTGCCACTTACTGATTGCTTTGAGACGTAATGCAGATTTCAAATGTGAATGCGGCCAAGGTATGTGAATTTGTTCAGCAGCAATTCCAAAAGCGGCCTCCTTGGCGAGAGTATCTGCAACTTCGTTTCCATATTCACCCATATGTGCCTTTATCCAAGCTAAGTGGATGTCATGGCGTTGATATTTTCTAAGGTCTTGTTGAATATCTCTAATGATTTTGGATGGGTGTTCTGGATTACTAATCGCATAAATAGCTGAAAGGCTATCAGACTTTATAGTAGCCTTTAGGATTTGGTGGGTTAGCAAGTAGCGAATAGCTTGCGCTATTGCTACTGCTTCCCCTTGAAAGACACTGTTATTGTTAGCCAAATGGCCTTTCCATTGTGCAATGACACTATTTTTTGTAAAACAGCAAATGCGCTCCCCACATTTCCTTCAATTTTAGATCCATCCGTATATAAATTACTATACTCGAGGGGCTACGGTATTCTGTAGGCGGGACATGTAGTCTAATGCCAACACCATAATCCGCAGGGTGAATGCTGTCAGATGTTAGTTTGGTTTCATATTCCTCCGAAGTAAAATTTTCTTCAGCAAATGCTATTGGCTTGTGTAGCTGTATTAACATTTGTCGTGCTGCTTCCTCCTCAGTTCTAATATGCAGTGGGAGCAAACCAGCCAAGACATTTATTGCATCAGTGGAAGTAGTAATATATGCCCGAGTTATGCCTAAGGCAAAAGGGCGCTGAATAGTAGAGAGATGCTTGATTTTTCTCCTCTGCATAGGGAGAGCCCAAATTGCTGCTGCATAAGTTACTAACTTTTCTACAACCGTTGTGTATAAGATCTTTTGAATGTGGTGGTTCAAACCCCACTTGTATCCATAAAATTGTCTTAGTTGTTTGGCGATGGCCAGGGTACGCTTTTTAATAGAGAGAACATGAGGAATCCACGTAAGTTTTTCATCAAAGGTAACACCAAGATATTTTAATTCTTTTACAATTTTGAGCCTCTGACCATTGAGTACAATACGCGGTCTCCTTGCCAAAGAGCCTCCCTTCTTAGGCACCAGTAAAATTTGACACTTATTTTCTGCTATGACTAATTTCAGTTCGTCACAATTTCGCTGGAAAATTTGACAGGCCTCATTGCAGTTCTTTTGCAATTCTTCACGAGAATGTCCCTTGACAACCAAGGCCGCGTCATCGGCATAGGCAAAAATGTTCGTATGCGCAGGCCAGGAAGCATTGAGTAGCTTATTGAAGGTTAAATTCCAGAGTTGAGGACCTGCGCAGGAACCCTGCGGGCATCCTCTCGTCTGTGACTTTTCAATAATTCCCGCTGAATGTATAATCATTATTCTTCGATCCTGTAGATAATGATTTATAGTATTAAAGATATTGCTTGGGCAGCCAGAACTTCTTAGAGCCTGCAAGATCGCTGGCCACCATAAGTTGTCAAATGCACTCTTCAGGTCTAAGCTGATGAGTGCTGTATGGAGACCGTGATATTTGTTGTCCATGATAGCCTCTTTGATATCATGCAAAGCGTGTAAAGTGGAAGTGGAAGTTCCTGGCCTAAATCCATATTGCCTGGGACTGAGGATATTATTAACGTGTAGATAATAGCGTAGTCTGGTCATAAGGAGTTTTTCAAACAGTTTACCAAGAGCCGGAAGTAAACAGATTGGTCGGAAAGATGTGGGTTCCGCTGGATTGCGATCTTTTTTCAAAAACAACACCACTTGTCCGATTTTAAACGATTTCGGGAATGTACCCGTAGCTAGTAATTTATTGAAAAAGCTAACAAAGATTGTTGGCTTGGCCAAAACGACTGTTTTAACGATTGCATAATCAATGCCATCAGGGCCAGGGGCCTTTTTCTTTGGCAAATGCGCTAATATATGTTTTAGTTCTTTCAATGTAATATCCCTATCCGGTGGCACGTTGGTAGACATCTGTTCTGTACGTATAGTTGCTTGTTGCTTAGAATCTTCGGTTGGGTCATCCTGACTGAAGACGGAATCCAGGATCTGTATTAATGTTTCCCTTGTGTAGTCCTGAGTAACATTTATTCGTGTAGGGATGTGTAACTGGGCAGGCCTAAACAGCTTTCCAGTCATAATCTTATGATGAATACCATAGATGTTTTGTGACTCTGTACAAAAAGCATGCCATGAATTGATTTTAGCCTGCAAAATTGAACGTTTGTACTTCGCTCTTGCCTGTTGATAAATTGGGAGGGTCTTAGCTGGAAGGTTTAGTCTACGCTCAGTCTTTAACCTTCGACGTAATGCGCGACATTGCCTCTGCTGAATACGAAGTTCACTACTCCACCAATTGATCGTAGTCAGTTTTTTAGTACTACGCTGTGGCAATATGTCATCACACGCTTGCTGTATACACTTTTGTAGAGTCACTGTGAAATTCTCCAATTCGTCTCTAGAGTTCGCTTGAGTTAGCTGTTGTTCAATACCTTCAAACAAATTCTTGACTCTAGTAGTAAAAGCACGTTTACGCCTACCAGGTAGGTTGTAACGACGAATAATATTAATTGTCGTCGGTTGCTCTATTGAGAAAGTAATGTAACGATGGTCGCTTAAGCTAATTTCATCATTAACCCTCCAGTTTTGTATTAATGGCGCAGCTGAGGCTGAGCTGACCGTCAAATCAGGCCAGCCTTGTGCGTAGATTCTGTCATATGTCGGAGGAGCGTCTGCTGTGTTATGTAAAACAAGATGATTAGCAGACAGAAAATCCTCCAGAAGGCTTCCTTTGTCATTCGTAGAAGCATACCCCCAAACCGTGTTGTGGGCATTATAATCGCCTGTAATTATTTTAAGAGGAATTTTAATCTTTTGCAGGGTATCTGTAAGAAACTGTGTAGTAGCCAAAATATCTGCAGAAGGAGGAGAGTATTGTGAGATAAACAGTAAAGATGCTTCTTGTGCTTCTATAATGATTGCAACATTATCGCGTTCAATTGCTACGATAGCCGGAGACCATTTTTTGTTGCAGTTAATAATAATGGCCCTAGGAGGATATTCTACATTTCCTTGTTGATAAATTGTCCATTGCAATGGAAATCCCACTGCAATTCCGTCTCGCGTGTAAGGTTCCTGAGCCATTATCAGGTCAGCACCAAATTCTGCTGCAAATTGTGCTAGTTGAGCAACTGCTGCTTTTGCTCGCTGTAAATTTATTTGTATACATTTGATAGATAATGTACTGCATATTGTATCTTTATTTATGACGTTTGATAAATCAAGATTAGCAGTATTCTGTATTATCTCGGATTGACTGTACCTTGCGCTGGTATTGTGGGCATTCTGGAGCATAGGCTGGATGGAAGTAGCTGTATTTGGTGCCATAGCGGGAGTTGGCCTCACCACAGTTGATACACTGTGGTTGTTGGGCTGTGCAATCACGGTTCCCATGTTCTTCTGCACAGTAGGAGCAATATTGTTTTCTACTTCTGCAGTCAGCTTGCTTATGCCCATATTGCTGGCATCTAAAACATCGCTGGAGGCCAATATGCTCTGAGACTCTATGAGCCTGCCAGCCGAGGAAGATTTTTCTGTGCTGCATGATGGCTGCAAAGCCTGTCGGCTCACACTCAAAAACCCACTTGATTTTGCCTTTACGACGTTCTTGTAATCGGAATAGGGGTTTAAAGGTGGTGCTAGGCATTCCAGTGACGCCGCTGAGTTCTGCGAGTACTTCTTCTGATTGTGTGGATACCGGCAAGTCATGGACGGTGCATCTTGGCTTACGTTTCCATGGACGGGTGACTTCCGCTGGGATATCTTGTTGTTGAAGCTGTTGTTCGAGGATTTCGACATCTTCAGTGGATTTACAGACAACCTCGAAACCTCCTTTGTTGAGCTTAGAAATTCTTTCTATACCTGCCTGTAGCTTGGAAAGTGGTACTTTAGCGTTTAGCTGCGCCTTTAGCTCAGTCCTCTGTGACGTCCGCTTTGGGACGTATGTATAGACTTGGATTCTTATGTTTCTTTATAATCTCTGCAAAAGTTGGTCGAGAAGCTGTTGGCAAAGGTGGAGGTGCCTGTAAATCAGGTGGTTGTTGTGCTATCGGTAGAGGCTGAGAGCGAGCCAATTCACAGCAAAGCACTGTTGATGTATTAACACCTGTGTCTATCTTTGTTGGCTTGGCTGCTAA